CACAAAAGTTTTCTATATTAAACAAAATGCTCTTCTTTTGAACTTTCTAATCATACAAGAATCCTGGAATTTGTTTGTTTTTTATTAGTTTCAACAAAAATATTAAGCTTAACAACTGTTTTCTTGAACAGCATATTAGAAAAATCTCTGAAGGATCATGTGACACTGAAGACTTGATGAATGATGCTGAAAATCCAGCTTTGTCATCACAGGAATAAATTACATCATAAAATACATCAAAATAGAAAACAGTTGTTTGTAATAATTGTAATAATATCTCACAATATTACTGTTTTTACTGTATTTGGGATCAAATAAATGAAGCCTTGGTGAGCAGAAGAAACTTCTTTAAAAAATATTAAAGAACAAACTTACAGACTCCAAACTTTTAAATGGTAGTGTATGTTAACTTTGTTTCTGAATCTGTTAAACACTTACTCTTGGAAATATGCAGGAACCTGTATGATGGGATCTAGGAGAGAGAAGGTGAAATGGTTATGGAAGTTGTTTGACAGATATTCATATACACTTCTTTTAAAAATGTCAAATATGTCATGTTTGTAACAACGAAAAGCAGTTTACTTTGAACACATGTCTTGATGCTACAGAACAGCAGGATCATATTCTTTCTGTTATCACTTGTCATAATGCACATACATGCAGATACACACACAAACACACACCTTCCTTAAGTGTCCATTTGATGTCTCCTGTCTGTTTACTGATGGCATGCAGACTTCCATCCAGTGTAGAAACAAAGAGCAGAGACTCAGGGAGTGAGACTGAACTTCCTCCCTCACACTGAAAGAGAAACCAGTAAAACACCTGTAGATATCAGACTATTTGAAACTAAATGCTACCTGATATGTAGCCTAAAAATACTTATAATGTGTGTTCTCTTGAGTGTGTGTGTGTCTGTGTGTGTGTGTACAGGTTTGGCTACATGTGAAGACTTTTTAAAAACCATTTAGCTTTAAATCTAACAATGTCCACATGTCTGTAAGAGTTAGAGTAAGAATAAATGTTATTTAAGTACAAAAACCCTTGTGTCTATAAGGGATCCTCATAGCTTCAGAGGTTTGTGTGTGTTTGTGTAAGAGAGCACGGTTAACAGACATTAACCAGGATATCCTTCTTCATAGTTGTTTGATGCCACTCCTATATTTACCAAAAAACTGCCTAACATTATACAGCAGTGTGGATTTGCATAACCAAAGAAAAACTATTTTAAAACATCTAAAAAACTGGGTGTTTTGAACATTCAGAGAACATGCAGATATGTTTTCATAACTTAATGGGAAAGATAGCAAAACTTTATTTTTTAACATAATTTTTGTTAGCTGGGTCCACCCTGTAATGAAGGCCTACAATTAAGGTGACTGTAGAATTTGCAAAAAACATTGCAAAACTGCCTTGCTCCTCCAAAATACACCAATATAAGATACATATACTTTTATGAGGCCATTATTAAGCCGTTATTATTATTAATGCATAGAATGATTATGTATTTGAGGAGATATAATATTTTACATTTAGAATGATTCATCCTGAGGGCAAAAAAAACAAAAAACGGTGATATTTACTCAGGTCAAACTAAGACTGAAGCCTAAAGAAACATGATGAGCCACACATGGGCCAGTAAGTGATTAAAAGAAATGATCATAGCACTCTTGACCACTCTTCCCCCACCACAGGATAGCAACTCTTGTTATAACACACGTGCACCCGCTCTGGGAACAATGCATATTACATTGCGCGAGCTCTCCAGTACAAGCCCATTAAGCGCGCGGCCATGCAGGTCTCGTGCTCAGGCTCGAGCAATATGACACTATTGTAAGAGCACAAAGAGAAATTAACTTAAAAACTCAATTACTATGGTGTGTTTCCAAATTCTTGTTGCTTGGATGTCCGACAAAGTCCAATTCACGAAATGAATCCTACTTTTGAACTGATTATTTTTAATGATCCGATCGAAAAGATTCACAAATCGTTTGTAAATCACTCGACTGTTCGGAATGACTTTGATCAGGAATAAAACACTGAAGTAGGTATATAATACAGTCAACAATGTCAGGAAAAAATAATTGTAGCCTAATATTGATAATATTTTACTTTCAATGAAATAATATTCCATGCATGCAAAAATGTAATTAGTTATGGCAAATATTAGTACAAAAAACGTATTAGATGCAACCCACAGCACCTATTCGAAAACATAATTATATAAAAAAAACAATATCACTATAAAATGAACATTAAAAGGCAGCGCAGGAACGCTTTTGAGTGATAAAGAGTGAATGGGGTTTGTGAACAGTTCAAACGAACCGTCCGACTGAACCGATTCTACCTAATTAATCTGACTGACACACATTTCATTATTATTATTACTATTATTAACACTACAACTTACAATAATTGTATTATTATAATAACAATAAGCTCTTTCTGATACTGATTTGTTTGTTTATTATTTTTTAATTATCATTCCAGGAACCCCAGCACCCCGCCTCTGCGTATCCAAAAATAGATCAACACATATCACTGTCCCCGTGCATTCCCTATGGTGACCAGCAACATAAAGTGGTAAACATGAGATTTATTTCCCCGTTATTACCTGTGACACGATTCCTGCGAAGCTAAGCAAGAAAAGTAGCAGCAGCTTCGGTCTCCAGTCCATCATTCTCTCCCTGAATCTGGTTAAAGTTGCGCGTGTTTGAGGTTCGTGTCAGTAAATATACACTAAGGTCGAACGGGCTCCAAACTCCTCCAAAACGCCATTATCACATAGTGTCGGAAAAAAATTCAGAGCGACATACTCAATCACTTACAGTGCTGTTGCGGTTCAGCATATGTCTGTGACATGCCAGACAACCGATCCTATAATAAAATTACAAATATTGCACATTTCCGCGTTGAGACGGAACTGGTGATGTCACTCAAATCAAACAGCATACAGTAGAAAACTAGAAGGCAAAAAAAAAAGGCAGGGCCATGTCTGTTTGATTGACAGGGCGTTTGACCAATGGCGTCTCGCTGCTGTGAGTTGAAAGGCGGAGTTTCGAGAAAACTGGATGTCATTTTAAAACACGTGGAACAATAACAGTTTGGCCCTGACAATTGATGACAACAGGCCTGTTTTGTCTATTTTTTCTTTTCCTTTCGAAGTTCAACAAAGAATATTCTCTCTGCTTATTAAGTGGGCGAATAGAAAAGGATTGATTGGTTTATTTTCTGCAATTGTAGTGCCACCATTGGACTTAAAGTCCCTGTAAAGTCAAAATTAAGTAGGCCTATGTGTTCTGAGTTTGTCACACCACAGAAAAATGTGTTATTAAATTTCTGGCGTACATTTCTAACATTTCATAATGTGTTTAGAATTTTTTTTAGAATTGCCTTTACAGGGACTTTAACAATGTTTTATGAACCTCTTAACTCGTGTAGTATTAAGAAAAATAACATACTGGAACATATGACCATTTTTTTTGTTTAGTCGTTTTCTCAACGTAGTCATTTAAACCATAAGAATAATAATGGTAGACCTGTAAAAATAAATTGAATAAAACATATAGACAGCGATAAGGTAAAATAGCTGTGACAATCTTTACTCCAGTGACTTTTTGTTAGCATAGGTTTATTTTGTAAGTAAATTTCTTTAGATATACCTTAAGTGAACATTAAGCCGTAAAACACTTAGAAAACAATTCAATAAAACAAGGATGTAAGAAAAAGTAACATAAAAAACAAAACCATTATTATGACCAACAAATCTTGTTATTAAAACTTGTAAAACATTTAAAACACTTCAATGTGTTTTAATAAAATGTGACAAATTGCCTTACATACGATGAACTCTGCTGCCCTCTTGTGTAAGATTTTTATGGCCACCAAATTGAAACATTTACATATATATTACTCGTAAAAAAAGAGCTAGATATTGCGAATACACGTTTGCTTCTAAAATAAAATAACTGGTTCAATTTGTCATTGCACTAATGTAAAAAAAGTCTGTAAAATATATTTTTTGTCAGATGATGAATAAACTTGAAAAACATACAATTCATTTCATAATGTGTTTACATTATTTGGCTTAAATCAATCAAACGATCAAATGATTAGTTAATCCCAACTATTTTCATGCCTTTAGCCGTAAATGCGTTTTATGACAGTTGATAAAGATATTTTAAATAATTGAAAACATTTAGAAATTTAAGTGCATAAAACACAAAAATTGGATACGCTTCACGATTTTGCGTGTCATACTTGCGCAGTGAGACCATGCTAATCTTCTCTGTATCGTTCCAATTTTAGTATATGTATTGCCTAGACAACACGAACGAGGAGCGATAACAACCTGTATTTATAGTTCTAATACTGGCAATCAATGTGCATGACGGTAGACAAAAAGTGTGGACAAAATCAACGATAAGTGCTGTAAGTTAAACAACAAATTGGTTATATCACAGAGCTGTTTATGAGAAATCTTGAGCACATCAAAAAATAATAAAAAAAGTGCATTTTAAGAGGGTTCACTACTGTTGTAACAAGCATTCTGAGACATATGCAAAATACTCGCGTTCTTGCGAAATGATTGGCCTTTTCGTTTGTCGTTGTTTACGTAATGTCTCGCCCCGTCGGTGTGTCTGCCAATCAGAAGCGGGGAATGTCAGGGAATTAGATTAAACATGTAAATGTATGTCATTGTTTAGTGCATACAGTATTTAGAAATTAACATTATTTCATATTAATTCGAACTATTGTAAAATTATAATTATTATAATACATTTCATAACGACAGTTCAAAAAAGGCTGATGTTAGACTTTGTAATCATGCTATTTTCTTATTCCATATCAGTGATAAATTGTTTAATTCTGTCTGGTTTATCATATTTATCTGTAGCTTTATAGAAATGCTGTCCACCCAGGACTTTTATAGAGCGGATGTAGACCTTACAATGGAACCGGAAATACCTTTACTTACACAAAAATTTTGCGCGAAAATTTCTGTTGTACATTTATGTACGCTCTTCCACTTGTTTATACATTTGTCACATTTTGATGTAAATTTCCTGTCTAAACAGACACGAGACCGCAAACATGGACGAATATGACGAAATGTACGGGATCGAAGATGATTTTGAACAACAGTTTGCTGATGAATTGGAAGTCATGGCTGCAATGGATCGTAAGTTAGAAAGATACGTTCATGTCTAAGTTAAGTTACTCCCTTATGGCATAATGGCTGACTGACTGTATGTAAAGGTAGTTTACGTAATAAAAAACAACACTACAAAACACTTGTATAAATATACAGTAATATTACGGTATTCTTTGAATAATACCAATATGGCTACGTACATAATTGTGGTAAATACTCCATCTGAAAATAGCACTGACTGTACCATAGTATTGCCACAAGAAACTTTGCTCTTGGTTAGTGTTAGAAAATGATTAATGATCATGACACACATTATGCACCATTTGTATGGATAGCCTATGATCATATTTTTATTCAGCCTAAATGTTACATGTCCTAAAGTGATACATTGATTGTTTTCCCTGACAAAAATGGGTGAATCTAGGATTTTTGTTTTGTTTTATGCCAGTACATTTGTACTTGCACTGCCAATATTTTTGTGTCCACACCACAAAAAGAGACATTTTATGTCAAATATATATATATTGTTCCTTTATGTATAAAAACAGAAACAGAAGTTGTATGTATAATTGACCATTTGTGCTGGAAACATTGCTGTAAAACATTGTCATACAGTGATTTGTTTGTAGTTTTCAACCAATTCTAACTAGTCGGACTAAGTTATTTGATAACTAACTTGTCAATTTACCACCTGACTACAACATTGCTCTGTATATCACAAGACATACTGCAAGCTATATTGTGTCATTTATTTATAAATAATCATATAAAATTGAACTAAAACACACCAAAACTGTTCGTTTTGAATGTGTGAATGTTTCTGTGTGTGTAGAACAGGAGCTTTCATCATGTGCAAAAGTGTCTGAGTTCCGCAATAAGAAGCCAATCCCACAGACGTTCGAGGAAGCCATTGTGTCCGGTGACGTGCCATCGAGGAAATCAGTAAATAACGAGCATCCTGAGAGCATCTCACCTCTAGTATATGAGGAGGAGGAGGAAGAGGAATCCCTGAGTCAGTATTGAATTTTTTCACTTGTGTATTAACACAATGCCTTTGTTATAGAGCTGCAAGTTCAAAAGTTTGGTGTTGGTAAGAATTTTTTATATAGTTTTGAAAGTAGTCACCAAGGCTGCATTTATTTGATCAAAAATACAGTAAAAACAGTTTAATGTAATAAAATTATGTTTGAAATAATTTCTATTGATGAATCAAAATGTATTTTATTCCTGTGATGGCAAAGCTGAATTTTCAGCATCATTATTACTCCAGTCTTCAGTGTCAGAAATCATTGTAATATGCTGATTTGCTGCTCAAGACATTTTTCCAATTACTATCGATGTTGAAAACAGTTGTGCTGCTTAATATTTTTGTGGAAACTGATAAATTTTTCAAAATTCTTTGGTGAATAGAATATTAAAAGAACAGTGTTTATTTAAAATAGAAATCTTCTCTATCACATTTGATCAATCTAATGCATCCTTGCTGAATAAAAGTAATTACTTTATGAAAAAATCTTATTGACCCTAAACATTTGTACAGTGATAGTAGTCTATCGCCTGCGCAATTCAGCTTAAATTGAGAATCACAATTTTTTTTGCTTCAAATAGAGACTGAATAAACAACTAAACAAAATAACATGTAACTTACTAGAGGTTCTGACAAAATGTTAATTGCTGCTGTCTATTTACAATGTTTAATTAATCTGAATGAATTTAAAAAAAATGGGTTGAATGAATGATTCAATGACTGGATGAATAAGCATTTTTGAACGAATCTCTTGAATGATTCATCGACAAAGTCTGTGTCCGTATTCGCATACTCTCTTGAGTATGTACTTATTTATTTTGAATAAGTAATTACTTCACATCCGCTAAAAAATTACGTTCTATATAGTATGAATGTAATCCGGACGTACTACATTCGCCACGTTGTCATTATCATGTGACCTTACCAGCGTCAGTTACTTCATAAATCCTCTCCCGTGGCCTCATGGGATAGTAAAGTGTCCATCGTATGCACGCTTCAGAAAGTAGTAGGTCATCCGGATACTTTTTTTGCCTACTTTTATGAATACTGTGAATTCGGACATACTTCTTTTGTCACATACTGTTTTTCGCCTACTATATAATAGGAAAGCATGCAATTTCAGATGCAGCCATACATTTTTAAGTCACTTGTCACCACCTGGTGGCGTAACAATGTAATCGATACAATCATTATTTGAAGCTCCTAGTTACTTTCAAAAGGTGATTTGCTCTATTTTGATCGCAACCGTAGACAGTGATTATATCCGAACTATAAACTTTTATCCCAGTACTTCTGTGATAATATTAGTATTTGTAACCGGAACAGACTGTGAAGCTGTTTCACATACCTATAATACTGTACATGACAACTGCTCTCTCTGGATCAGCAGAGCGCCAACGCAGATCTGAATGTTCAGGTGTTATTTTGTCAAAGGTTTAATAGACAGGAGAATCGTTGTCATTTAGAAATGAGATCGCATGGATGTTTGAATCGAGATTGTGATCTTTTAACGGTTAATCGTGCAGCCCTAGGCGGTAGTGCAAACTTTGTGAGAGTGTGTAAAAGTAATGCAGTGTGTCTAATGGTGTTGGTGGTTTCTCACAGCTCCTAAACCTAAGAAAAGAAGACAAGATGTGGCAAAAAAGCTCCAGTTTGGTGTTGAACACACTGATGACGTCACCCCTCCGTCATCCCCAGAGGTTTACAACAGACGAGTGAGAGATGGGTAAAAGTTTATGCACATCACAGTTAATCTAACTGTGTTAATCTAACATAACATTATAACCATTGGTTGATTTTAAAAAAATCCTTTTACAGACCTGCAGTTTTCCTGTCCCTAAGTCCAGATAGACCAGCAGCCACAAAAATAACAACCAACGTGTTAGATATTAGTGGACTGACAGCATTACAGGAGTCACCATGGCGGGTTACCGCAGCTAGACGTCATGCCCAGAAACGGCCCCCTGCAATTGGAGATTTTATCACAGTCACAGACTCCATGGGAAACAGAGTCTACCTTAACAAGAAAGAGGATGAGGAGAAGGTTTCGGACCCCGCCAAATATTTTACACGACCGCTTGCAGGAGTACAATGTGTGAAGTTTATTGATTTTTTTTCTTATGCTTTTTCTCAGGCACCAGATCCAAGAGCCTTCCGTAACTCACTGAATGGACTAGGACTGCTAGCGGTTCCAATAGAAGTGCTGAAAGAACAAGTTGCAGAGAGAGTAAGAATGTGTGATAGGGCTGTACGATCGATTAAGCGTGATTAATCGATTCTAACATAAAAGTCTGTGTTTACATAATATGTGTGTGTGTGTGTATATTATATTTATATAATATATATATTTCTCTGTGTCTGCGTGCGTATATGTACTATATATATATATATACACACAGTATATATGTATAAATATATGTGTGTGTATATACAGTGTACAGACAAACACAGAAATATGTATAATACATAAATATAATAATATATACACATGTAAACAGACTTTTATATTAGATGCGATTAATCGATTTTACAGCCCCTATGTGTGAACAAACCTAAAATAATGATTTGGGGCAGGGCCGTCACCAGAACATATAGAATGGGGGGGCATTTCATTTTCATGGGGGGGCACACTTTTTTATGATCTACAAAACAGACAGTCACAAAAACAATAACATCCCCTATTTAGTCTAATATAACTGAAATAGACAAAATTCTATATTTAAACAACACCAAAACACAGGGTGAACCAACACCATGAAGATATGTGCTTCCCCTTTAAAAACAGGCTATATGCAGGATTTGGCATGGCAGAAAACTCGCAAAGAGCGCTCATTTTATCATCACTAAAAAGCGGTTATACAACTTTATCGCGATCTCACAATGTTCCATTAGGCTATCAGTAAAGCTGATACACAATAATGTCTTATTTACATAGCCTAACTGCTTATTATAACGAGAGGATTTGCGAGCGCATAGATCTAATCCACTCACCGCTCAAAACACCGGAGTTTCGCCAATATTCTTTTATTACAGAGAAAACTGATCCTACACCAGCATTTATGGACAGCTTTTCCCTCTAAAAGCAATCAAGTATATGGAAGCTTGTTTTCGCCACGGAATTTTTTTTATAGATAATTGCGACTTTTTTCCTCACAATTCTCACATGGATTTCTCACAATTCCGAGTTCTGACTTTGACACGCAAATGTGACTGTATATCACGCAACTCTGACTTTATAACTTGCCATTTTGATTTTATATCACGCAATTCTGAGAAAAATTTCGTTTATTTTATATGGAAACAGTAGGCTGTTTTTAGCAGGTAAATGAATATGAAAATTCGACAACACACGCTCCGACTAATTTCCAATTCATATTTCTGAAGACAATGTGTTATTTAAAATTACAGAGATTAGTGCCTGTGTGCTAAATGCTGCATGACAACATTTCGTTATGGAATAAGTGAATGCGTTTTTTTGCTCTCAATAGTAAGTTTGCTGACTGCCCCCTAATGCCCCCCCTTGGCGACGGGCCTGATTTGGGGGAAATCTCTCTGAAATGGTTTTGTTTTTTCAGCGCCATCGACAAGTGGTGGAGGAATCCCAAAGATTGACAGAACTTATGAATAGGTGCGTGCGTACACATTTCTGTGTGGATCATACCTGTCAATTCTTTACTCTAAACTGCTGTACATCTCTACGCATGTTAACTCTGAAATGACTTTTTAGTGGGATCGATCCAGAGCTTATTGCAGAAGAGCAGGCAGACTCTGGTGTGGATGGTGGTAGTGGGGAAGATGAAGGCTCATCCTCGCGGCTGTGGGTGGATCAGTTCTCGCCACAGCACTACACCGATCTGCTGAGTGATGATGTGAGTCATAGATACGCTCACTTGAAAACTAATTATTGGCAGGCATTTGCCTTGTAAATATTTACATGGTCTCTCTATCTCTATAGTTCACCAACCGCTGTCTGCTGAAGTGGCTGAAGCTCTGGGACACTGTGGTCTTCGGGCGAGAGAGGAAACCCCGTCCGGCCCCTGCAGACGTCAGATCGAACTTTACAAATGCTCAAAACCAAAACCAAAACCAGTCCCAGCGTTTCAAAACCAAGTCCCAAATCACAGAAGAGATACTAGAGGCTGAGCTGGACCAGTACAAAAGACCTAAATTTAAGGTGAGTGAAACTGAGCAATCACAACAGATTTTTTATATTAGATTTATTTAAATGAACCTTTTTATATTTGTACTTGAGATTAACATTTACATTTATTTTTAAATGTTATATTTTTGTTGTATATTAATATTAATGTATAATATATATTAATATTAATGTTAGAAGTGTTTAGATTTAATTATGTTAGTTTAGATTTATTTATAACATTTAGATTTTGAATTATGTTTTATAATCTAAAAATATATATTATATTTGTTATATATATATTTATATTTATTAGCCCATGAATATGTAAAAAAAAAAATTGACTTTAAAAAGAAATGCTTATTTATAAATGCAAAAATATTGTACAATTGGAATTTAGGTTGCTAAATTTGCCAAATGAACCTTGCTGGCTTGACAGTGACCTGATGTTTTTTATTGTAAAATATTAACAAGCTAAATGATACTGGGTCGGACCTCCAGAGAAGTAGTGAATGTCAATTTTTAACATGTTCAGTGTTTAACTGTATGTATCACACTACACAGGTGGCACTATTATCAGGTCCTCCTGGACTGGGGAAAACCACGCTAGCACACATTATCGCAAAGCATGCTGGTTACAATGTAGTAGAAATCAACGCTAGGTAAGAGGATGCAAGCCCTGGTGCTGCTAACCAATCTTAAAATAGAAGTATGCACAAATAAATGTCGACACTCACAATCTAATAGCGCTGATCTCTTCTCAGTGATGACCGCAGTGCAGAGCTCTTCCAGAAACGCATTGATACCGCGACACAGATGAAGTCAGTCCTGGGAGCCAATGAAAAGCCCAACTGCCTTATAATAGATGAAATTGATGGGGCTCCTGCTGTAAGATCTGCTCTCAGTTTTATTGGTCACTTTTAATTCAACGGCTTGTCTAAATGATGCTGTTTCACACTTGTTGTTGTTGTTGTTGTTGTTGTTGTTTTTTTGCTCAGGCTGCCATTAATATTTTATTGGCCACCCTGAACCGTAAGGACAGCCGAGATGGAGAGGAGTCAGGTGGTAATGCCTTGAAAAAGAAAAAGAAGAAGCAATCTGTGCTGCTTAGACCAATCATCTGCATCTGCAATGACCTGTAAGTCTTATGTTTAAGGGGTATAAGTGAATATTTAGTTTGGATTTAAAATATTTGAATTTCTGCATATTTTCCCAGTCAACTATTAAACTTTGAGAAAACACACAAATAATATCCAACACAATTTCTGAACAAGAACATTCAATGGTAACACTTTACAATGAGGTCTCATTTGTTAACATTAGTACATTAAATAACATGAATGTATTCGGTTACACTTTATTTTAAGGTGACGTAGTTACATTGTACTTACTCAAATAAGTCATATTAATGAACTAAATGCATTTACTATAGAGTTATGTTCAGGGTTTGGTTTAGGGTTAGTTACTTGTTATTATGCATAATCTACTGTTATTACTATAGTAAGTACATGTAGTAATGTGCATCTACGTCATATTATTACCATTTATTAACATTTGTAAATTGTAAGTATATAAAAATGTTCATGTCCATGTTAGTCCACACAGTGCATAAACCTAATGTTAACAGATGGAACTTTTTATCCTAAAAATGTATTAGAAAATGTTGAGACTAACATTAACGAAAATTAATAAATGCTGTAGAAGTATTGTTCATTGTTCACATTAACTAATGTAGTTAACTAATGTTAACAAATGAAACCTTTTTGTAAAGTGTTACCCATTTAATTATTATTGTGCATCACCTTCGCAATATACATTAGCAATGGAAAATCAATACAAAAAATGTAATCCATTTACCTGTATTTTGTCAGTTATGTTCCTGCTCTAAGGCCGCTGAGACAGCAAGCTTTCCTATTGGCTTTTCCCCAGACTCTGCCCTCCCGCTTAGCTCAAAGACTGTCAGAGGTGACACACACATGCACTCACATGTTTACAAGATGATTTCATAAACACATGAATGTAGACTCATAAAAGCTTTTGTTTCTTTGTGTAGATCACACGGCGTCAGGGTATGAAAGCAGACACAGGCACTCTGATGGCCCTGTGTGAGAAAACTGACAATGACATCCGTTCTTGCATCAACACATTACAGGTGAGAGAGATGTGTGCCTTTTTAAAACTGGTCAGAATTAAAATATGGGATTGCTTAATCAAGTGTGTGCAGTTTTTACACAGACGTGGACAGAAGCACTTGGATCAGCGCAGTGTCAGTTCCATGTGTGTGGGATTGAAAGATCAAAACAAGGGACTCTTCTCAGTTTGGCAGGAAATCTTCCAGCTTCCTCGACTGAAAAGGTAAACACATAATGCCATTCTCAAGCACTTGGTCTTTCCACTCAGCCCTCCCTTGGTAGCTTTTCAGTGTGGTCAATGAAATAAAAGCATGCTATTGTCACGTGTTACTATTTAAACAGAATCTTTAAATGGGTCTGTAATGATTATTCTAGCATTTTTCTGACTTCTTATTCATGGAAAGACTACATGGATTATTTTTTTATTATTCATAATGGTACATGTTTTTAAAAAAATAATTAGTTAAAGCAAAGGAAAATATTTTAGCATATTTTACCCACAATTCTCAAATAAATATACATATATATTCTTTATGCTAAAGCGGCATATGTATCCTACTTTTTTATTTTTTTGGATTTAGGATTTTTATGTCTCTTTTCTTTAAGACAAATGGTATGTTTTTTTTTGGGGGGGGGGGGATAAAATGTGACATGAAAATGTTTTCTTTACAATCTAAAAGAAGTAAAAAGATAAAATTGGAAAAAATGTAAACACTTTTATTTGTCAACTGTTTTATCAGACTGTGCCACTGATTCCGGCATTCTTCATTTTATGATGGTGTTGTGATTTAGGAAGCGGATTGGTGGAGATTCATTTGGTGGTTTTGATGAAGCTGGACCTAAAGACGGTGCACAAAGGATTCAGCACATCTTACATTTGGTCTCATCTACTGGAGAGCACGAGAAACTCACTCAGGTAACTAGAGCTTTACATTCTACACTCTTTGGGCTTCTACTAAACTAAATTAGGCTAACTAATAAAGTTCAAACATTATTAAAGGCAAGTGAACAGTCAGTAAAAAAAATAAGATCAAATTACAAGCATAGATAAATATAATATAACAAAGTTACAAATAAAGTAAGGTCGAACTGTAATATATTTAGGTACAGGCATGTAATAATTAGGCCTAAATGTAAAATAACACTATAATTTTCACTGTATAAATTAAATGTAGATGAATCTTTGTTAAAGTTGTGTTTGGTTGTTTGATTAACATTAATGGCTTAGACAGCATTGTTTAACACCTACAAAAGTGTGATATTTCAGCCAGAATGATTTACTCTCTGTCTCCTGTAGGGCTTATATGATAACTTCCTCAGCATGAAGCTGAAGGACCCTGGGATGTTGGGTGTGTGCACAGGTCTTGACTGGTTGTGTTTCTCTGACGTGCTGAATGAGTTTGTGCTACATGGACAAAACTACTCGCTCATGCGCTACTTCCCATTCCTGCCCGCTGCCTTCCATCACCTATATGCCGCAAACTCTGTCCCACGCATCAATTATCCACACAGCCACTACGAGGTGAGAGAATACAATAGACAGTGAGAGCGCTGTCTATCCACCCTATAATACTTTAACGAATTAGGCAGAATCAAGCAGACCTTTTAAAAAAAAAAAAATCCTGTCTTTCCCTTTCTACCTTTCATCAAATGAAAGCGTTCTGTCCCAGTTACACACTTGACCATAATGTCTTAAAACACAGCAATCATGTGTCTCCCTTGTCCCTTCACTATGACTGCATTTATGCCATTGATGTGCCATTGCCATTCTGTTTTTCAAGTGTTGTGAATGTTTTTTGGTCTTTGATAATAGAGAAAATTCAAAAGTTCTCCTTTTTTTTTTGGAAAGATATTACTACTTTTATTCAGCAACAATGCATTAAATTGTTCAAAAGTGACAGTAAATACATTTTTAGTTTTACAAAAGATTTGTATTTCAAATAAATGCTGTTCTTTTGAACTTTCTATTCATCAAAGGATCCTGGGGAAAAATTATCACTATTTCCAGCCAAAAAATAAGCAGCACAATAATGTTTTCAACATTGATAATAATATGAAAAGTTTCGTCAGCATTTTACAGTTTTTTTCAATCGCTAACAAGCGCTTACCCATACTTCAGATACTTTTTCTAAACTCTTAACACAGACTCACACCTACAAAACACAATTGACCAAATGGTTAATTTTCTTCTCAAAAACACATTTTGTTAAATATATACTAACACTTCATTTCAAAATAGAACACATCTTTCTCTGCACACACTAACTTTACCAAAACACTGAAAATCTGTCTCAAAATGAAATTATTCTGTCAAAGAATAACACTTGTTTTCACTTCACATGGTACATGCAGTCAATCAAAGTACACCAGGTTTCAAAATACTGGCTATTGTTGACATTAAAAAAAACTACATAGACTTTGATGTTTCAGTTTTACAGGTATTTGCATGCAAAACATGCAATCCAACCTTTTTACACTAACTTTCTTGGTTGGGAACTGTATGTCCACATGTACAGTAATGTTCACATTCAAAAGCATTCTAGTAAAAAGCAAATCAGTTTTTTCCCTTTACTGTTTACAACAGGAGGTACAGTAGAAACACGGTATGAAAGAACAGAAAAAGTTTTACAGTATTGCTTACAAAAAAAGCACAAAATTACTGTATCTAAACTCTGCGATCTTCAGGGTTAGGCCACATGTTTTCATCAAATATTGCACTTCTGCACCTCTCACTGCACCTCTCACTGCACCTCTCACTGCATCACTCACTGCACATCTCACTGCACCTCTCACTGCACATCTCACTGCACATCTCACTGCACATCTCACTGCACCTCTCACTGCACCTCTCACTGCACCTCTCACTGCACATCTCACTGCACATCTCACTGCACATCTCACTGCACCTCTCACTGCACCTCTCACTGCACCTCTCACTGCACCTCTCACTGCACCTCTCACTGCACATCTCACTGCACATCTCACTGCACATCTCACTGCACATCTCACTGCACCTCTCACTGCACCTCTCACTGCACCTCTCACTGCACCTCTCACTGCACCTCTCACTGCACATCTCACTGCACCTCTCACTGCACCTCTCACTGCACATCTCACTGCACCTCTCACTGCATATCTCACTGCACCTCTCACTGCACCTCTCACTGCACCTCTCACTGCACCTCTCACTGCACCTCTCACTGCACCTCTCACTGCATATCTCACTGCACCTCTCACTGCACCTCTCACTGCACCTCTCACTACACCTCTCACTGCACCTCACTGCACCTCTCACTGCACCTCTCACTGCACCTCTCACTGCACCTCTCACTGCACATCTCACTGCACCTCTCACTACACCTCTCACTGCACCTCACTGCACCTCTCACTGCACCTCTCACTGCACCTCTCACTGCACCTCTCACTGCACCTCTCACTGCACCTCTCACTGCACCTCTCACTGCACCTCTCACTGCACATCTCACTGCATATCTCACTGCACCTCTCACTGCACCTCTCACTGCACCTCTCACTGCATCTCTCACTGCACCTCTCACTGCACCTCTCACTGCACCTCTCACTGCACATCTCACTGCACCTCTCACTGCATATCTCACTGCACCTCTCACTGCATATCTCACTGCACCTCTCACTGCACCTCTCACTGCACCTCTCACTGCATATCTCACTGCACCTCTCACTGCATATCTCACTGCACCTCTCACTGCACATCTCACTGCATATCTCACTGCATCTCTCACTGCTCCTGCTATTCTCCCTGGGCCCCTTGCTCTTACTCTTCCTCGTCCAGACATTACAGTGTTTGTCTTTTTCTGTTTCTGTTTCCAAAAACATCACTCCTCAAAGTCCTAATTTTACTGTATAAGTGTCAATGTAATAGAAAAAAATTGGGTAATTTTGGGTTGGCCCAATTTACCCAACATAAATCAGCTGTGTGTCAATTATTCAATTGTTTGTTTATTATTTTGCTGAGATATATTGTTTTTGGAACTGATATCATTGCAAAAGCAGAGGTTTTTATACTGTATCTAAGGTTTGGAATATTGTTTTTGCTATTGTGGGATGGTGTGTGTTAACATTCGCAAATACTACAAAAACAATCCATAATTTTGTTGGGAGGTATAACTTGTCTGTTAAGAAAATGTAAGCATTGTGGAAATGTGTTCACTGACTGCATATTGTGTGAAAACGACATGAAATGTGTGAATGGTATGGCCACAATAGACCGATGCTGTGCTAATTGTGTTTAGAGTTTTGAAAATGTGACTACTGGTTGGACAAACGCTTTTGTTAGCGACTGAAAAAAACTGTAAAATGATTTCTGAAAGATCATGTGACTGAAGAGTAATGATGCTGAAAATTCAGATTTGCCACTCAGACAACTAACCAATCTGAAACATGCCGACAAGTCTTTATATAATGATAATAATACACTTTTATTGTTTTAGTGTAAAATGAGAGTGGTAATAAATGAAGTCTTAAATTTGTTTCTAGGCTTTCACTAAAACTCAGCACACCAAGAATGCCCTCATTGCCATGTTGAATGACATCCCACCTGCCATACAGAGCCGTGTTTGTATGAGCAGTCTCTGTATGGACATCCTCAGCCTTCTCCTGGAGCTCATCTCCCCCAAACTGCGGCCGGTGAGTCATTTTAAAGTTTCCACAGAAATATTAAGCAGCACAACTGTTTTCAACATTGATTATAATAAAAAAAAAGAGTGTCTTGGGCAGCAAATCAGCATATTACAATGATTTCTGAAGGATCGTGTGACACTAAAGAGTGGAATAATGATGCTGAAAATTCAGCTTTGCCATCACAGGAATAAATGTCATTTTGAAATATATTTAAAATAGTAAACAGTTATTTTAAATGTTAATATTATTTCACAATATTACAGTTTTTACTGTAAATGAATTGCTCATATGAATGCAGCCTTGGTGAGACTTGATGTGTTTCTTACAGGTCAACCCTCAGCTTTACAGCACCAGGGAGAAGCAGCAGCTTTATGATTTGATTGACACCATGATCAACTACAACCTGACCTACAGACAGGACCGCACACCAGAGGGACAGTACACTTATGTGCTGGAGCCGTGAGTACATGCATATACACAAACAACATTAACCTGATCTACAGGCTCATTGAACACATTGTTCTGGGTATATAGCCATGCTTATCTGTCAGGACTTTAGTTATGCAACTCATATAGCACAAGAATACCTACTAACACACACGGCACTGATTCCTGTTTATCACGATTTATGAGAGATTAGGCTGCAGCTCTAGATTACTGTCTCTCCATCCCCTCCTCTTCCACTTTTTATTTTATTTTATTATTATTATTTTCCATCCCCTGTTTCACTTTGTTGATTCTCTCACATGAGAGCTTGGAGGTTTTTGTTACTTGCCTTTGAAAGTCATGCATGGACGCATGTTCATCACTCAAGCATATAAAAAGACTTACAATCCTCTCTGTGGCTTACTGTGTCCTACCACTCACATTGATTGATGGAAATGGTGCTGAAAATGTGCACAAACAAGCTTTCGACACTCACAAGTCGAGCTTGATGGAGCTAAAGGTGGATAAAAACCAGGAGTGAGAAGATAAACAAGGAAACACGGGAACAATCTGCGCTATTGGATTGGTTTTCAGACCGAGTCGGCTCAAGCTGGAACTGAAGAAGAGCATCTCTGAACATCCTGTATGTTTGCTTCTTATTCATGGAGCATTTCTCATGTTTTATATAAAGGTTTTGTATGAATGTTAGATGTTTTTAAAGGCTGCATTAAAAAAATACAGTAAAAAGTAATGAAATATTACAATTTAAAAACACTGTTTTCTGTTTTAAAATGTAATCTATTCCTGTGATGACAAAGCTGAATTTTCAGCAGCCATTACTCCAGTTTTCAGTGTCACATGACACATTCTGCTTAATATTTTTGTTTAAACATGATGATTTTTCTCATAGTTATTTGAATAATAGAAAGTGATTTATTTAAAAATAGAGATCTTTTGTAGCATTATAAATATGCTGTCATTTTTTTTTTTTACATTTTAAAGCTTCCTTGCTGGATAAAAGTATTCATTTCTTTATTATTATTATTTTTTACTGTTTTTAGTTATAAAATTTAGTTAAAATAGTTAGCACATTTATTTTTATTAATATTACAATTCAATAATACACTAAATGTAATAGTATATCTATCTAACAGTAAACAGTAATATTTTTTTGCCTGTAAAATGTGAACCTTTTTTAATGATTATTTGAAAGTTCAAAATAAATGCTGTGTGTAAATGAATCAAACTAAAATCATCAGTTAATTTTATAAATGCCAAGTAAGTATTATATCAGGCTTGATACAGGCTAGATTAGATGGGGAAATCCCTGTGCATGTTTTTTCATGATCATGTTTCTGAAGCTCATTATTTATTTGCGTGTGTGTGTTCTCTCTGTGATTGGTGTGGTAGAAGCATGCAGCATTCGTTCCTCCAGGCCCGCTGTGAGGAGACACTGGTCACCTCTGACTGGGGTATTCCACTGCTGATCGCCCTGTTACTGCTTCTGCTCGTTTACGCCTTCCTGTATCTTCCTGCCATCTCTTATCGAGCTTTACTCCAACAAGCGCTGAGTAACCACACTGAAGCCATGATGACCCTGGAAAATAACAAGATGGTCTGAGGATTGTACAATTCCCAAGCCAAATGTCGCATCGCTAACTTCATTTTCATTGCATCGTCTGATTATGAGGAACATTATAATTAAACTTTTATCAGAGGAGGCCTGAATGGAAGAAACGTCTTTGCCTCATTTATAATTATTGTGATATTTTGACAGACTATCTTGTCAGAATAATCCCACTGTGCAATGTTTAGTCATGCCAGTACACAGCAAGCATTTCCATATATTCACGAAGTCTTTTTTGACGATTTAATGTGAGATGCGATGGCACATGAGCAGGACATTTTGCCCAGAGATATTGAACTATCTGGATGTTACCTGGTAATAACCTGGCAAGCTTTCATCGCTATCCTGTTCCCTAGAAAGGGAGAAACCTGTTGATTTTAATTTGAATGCTCAACATAATATATGGGAAAAAGCACACAAACTTCTGTACTGCTCCGTGTGGTTTTTTTTGTGACGGAACTTTCTCCGACTGTCCTAGAGAAATGACTTTGTGTCCGTGACCAGGAATAACCTGCGCAACTAATCCTGCTTTTGGAGATTCATCTGCTTGTGTGTATTTGCACATATTGTCTAATTTCCTTTTATTCCTGGAACGGTGTTTTACCTTCGGAGCAAGAGGGATTATTTAGCTCTCCTGCTTTCCACTCTTTAAACCATCTCATCTTCATTTACCTTCATATCCCTCTTCATTAGAGTCCCTAGTTCAGATTCTATAATGTTATGTAAAGGTATATGATACCATTATTTTATCTTTCATTTATTGGTTGTACAAGCAGTAATTTTATGACCTGTATTTCCACAGTAATGTAGAAGACGTGGTGCATTTTCCGGGTTTGCCTCCCCGGAGGCAGCTGACCTATCAGGTGAAGCAGCTGATCGCCAGGGAGACAGAATTAGAGCGAATGAGGAGGGTGGAGAGGGCACAGCAGAAACGAAACCCACAAAAGGTAGGGGTTGGACGATGAAACTGAAACTCTGGCCAATATAGTTTTGGAGGTTTCACGGCTATATATGCGTGGCCTGGTGGCCAATCTTCACTGATTTTTATATTCCATCAGTAAGAGCAGTGTGTGAAGGTTGAATTAGCAGAGCTTTAGCACACCTGTACATAAAATATTGCAATCTGCACAACATAATGGGAGGCCAAATTGTTGGTGCGCTTCTTGAACGAACCGCATCCTGATCCAACAGGAGTTACTGTCGACACAAGTGGAAGCTCTCTCTCTCTCTCTCTCTCTCTCTCTCTCTCTCTCTCTCTCTCTCTCTCTCTCTCTCTCTCTCTCTCTCTCTCTCTCTCTCTCTCTCTCTCTCTCTCTCTCTCTCTCTCTCTATATATATATATATATATATATATATATATATATATATATATACCGTAAAACTTCAAATAATAGCCGAGTCCCAAATAGACGCCTGTCTCTTTTACACGCCTGGTGTGGCTGCAGGTTTGGGTAAATAAAGGCCGGTCTCAAATAGAGGCCGGGTCTGTTTTTTAGTTTCGGGTTGTATTTAATCCTCTAAAACCGTCAGATCGTCTGCTTTTTGGCGGCCGCCAAAGCAAATTTTTTGTCCCTCCAAAGCCTTTTTTGATCGGTGAGTGAAGTAGAATAGAATGACTGCTGCGCCTGACAGGGCGCATAACGAGCAGAGAGAGAGAGAGCGCCCCGGCCGCGCGCGCGCACTCTCACGTCTTCAAACACCACGAGCGCTGTCTTGCTCTCTCTCCCTCGCGCATATTAACCCTCTGGGGTTCTAAGCGTTTAAGTAAAAAAATGTTAAAAATCGTAGCTTCATCGGAATGGTCCAAAACTTGGTGACTTTTTTGGTACTTGGTATATGAACACCCAAAAAAATTGGGGACAGGATTTGAAAAGTCTAAGTGGTCGTAAAAAAAATAGTCACACTCAGGGTCTTCGGGTCTAAAATGACCCGCATAGGAAATGAATGGGAAATTGGCAAAAATATGAAAATACAGAGTTTTTTTGTGCATACAATCTACCAAACAGCCAGGATGCCGAAAAAAAGCACACAACAGTGAAGGGGTGAATTTCTTAAAACAATGGGTGACAAAATGCTTTCCATTTGTTCTCTTTATAATGCAATGTTCAGGTTTGAATGTATTATAAAGTCATAATACACATAACTGCCACTTCAAATTACCATTTAAACCAACCAAATTTTTTTTTTTTTTTTTTTTTTTTTTAAATGACAAAAATAGTCTTTGAGAATCTGTTATTATATATTCAAATCAACAACCTGAAAAAAATTAAACAATATGTGAAAAAATCACTAAAGTGTTTCTACCATAGGTTTCTACAGAGAGCTGTAAATCCACTAGTGGTAAAAATGTGCTATTGCGTGATAAAAATGCTCAGTGTGTCCACCAGATGGCTCCGATCTCATTTCAAAAATTGCTTTCATGAGGCCTAGACTTGACTCTAAAATGAAATACAGCTTTAATAAATTTTTTTTATTATTATATATATATATATATATATATATATATATATAAATGTTCTATTATATTCAATGGGAAAAAATGGGTCTTAATTATTGCATAAATATTAATTATATACAAAATTATCTCAAAACACCAAAAAAGAAAAGAAAAAATATTATTGAACAAAAATATATTTCATTGATTTTACTCAAATAAAATGTATCTTAATGCCGCCCTCCGGGTCATTTTTGACCCGAAGGTCCTGAGTGTGAGTCTAAAATGAAGAACCCCAGAGGGTTAATCAAAATCAATTGACGCGATAGTAAAAGGTCGGAAGACCGCAGTTTCACGTGGAGCATTTGGAGATTTTTAGAGATTAGAGACAGGCCTATACACTCAATGAACAACATCTCAACACTAAATTATAAAGGCCTGTCTGTCTCATATAGACGCCTGTCTCAAATACAAGCCGGTGCAGTTCGACGATTTGGGCAAATAAAAGCCCGGGCTACTATTTGAAGTTTTACGGTATATATATATATATATATACACACACACACATACACAGAGAGCAATGAATTCTGTCTAATCTTGCTTTTGTTTTGCCTTCAGAATAGTTAATACCCATTTATAGACACTGCACCTTTTGCAATTGGAAATCTTATTGATTAAAATGGGTTTGATTTAGTTTGTTTCACCACTAATTTGCTGTGTTGACAATATACATATACTTTGATTGATTTCAGTTGGACTACAACATTATGATTTGAAAATGTGCACTGTTTTGTCCGGCTGCGGTACCAGTTTTATCTTTGCGAAGTTAGACCAACAGACCTTGATCTTGCAATTATAGTGAAGAAGTGAGGCGCAACATGTATTTATCCTTTAAATATTTGATTAACCATTGTGTTATGTGCTTGGACAGATGTGCAGCCCCCAAACAATATACAAAGCTGTAAACAATAATATTTCATTTACAGGATTGTTCTTGTTGCATATTATTTGTTCTGTGTGTTTAGACAGAGGCAGTAAGTAAGAATCAAGAGGAGAAGAAAACTGAAGTGAAGAAACCGACAAGCAGGAACCATCAGCAGAGGCTGGAGAACATTGTTAAACAGACTGTGGTGGAAACCAGGGTAAAGCATCTATATTAAACCACCTTAAATCTTTAACATCTGTCCTTGAACTACCACAGCAGCACCTGAAATCCTTCCTACGCTCATAAAAATCACATTTTAAATTGTATTTCCCTCAAGTCCAGTCCTTCATTGAATATTATCATAACAAATTTGATGCTGGGATTGGTGATTCACAACTTCGCTCTGGCATTGTGTGAAACTCAAGCTATAACTAACTAGTTATAAATGCAGATAATACAAATGAGCACTATTAATTATGACCAAAGTTAAAATGCCAAACCAGAACATAAAGCCTGTGAATGATATGTGAAGAAGATGCAGGATTTTGCACTAAACAGTGATTCTGTGCCACCATGTTAAATTATTTTTCGCATTCTGTCTCTCTTTATGTATGCTTGACTTATGCTTCATAATAACCCAAGATGAATTGGGTTAATAGTTGATCAGGGTCAAAGTGCTCTCACCTGATGACTTGTTTATTTATCCTTCCCACGGTTATAGCCTGAATTGGATTTCTTTGGACGAGCCATTGCACCCAAGGAGAAGCCTATGATCACCACTACAGGTGTGTTGTTTGCTCTATATATATATATATATATATATATATATATAAACAATATAAGTGTTCTGCATAACCTAAATGTTAAATATGAGCTGATATCACTTCTCTCTGCAGGTGAAGATGGCAAAGCAGGCGAAGTGGTGCATATTGGTAAAGCTGTGGGTAACAGTGATGTATGGTTTCGTTTCAATGAAGGTGTGTCTAATGCAGTCCGCAGAAACGTTTACATTCGGGAGTTACTTTAAAGTTAATTTACCACCTTAAATCAATACATAAAAACAAAAAATGTTCTGAACCTTGTACTGTATAGTTAAAAAAACAACACCTAAAATGTCAACAACAACGAAAAAAGCACTGGTTCATCCTTTTCTTTTTATTGTATTCTTGTATAGTTGTCTTACACTTTTATAAATACATGTTTTCACTGAGTAACAGCAGTTTTTTCTTTCTTTCTTTTCATAATGTCATGGCCTGAGTAGAGCAAACAACAAAGCAGATTTACTCAGAATTAATTAATTTGCATCTTTGTCCATCCTAGTCAAAGTCAGGCAGTGTAAGTCACTCCTGTTGCCATAGTGATGATTGACAGCTCTATATTATAACACATTTGCTTATCTCCACCCACGGGTTCTCCTTCAGTAAATCTGGATTCAGAAATGGATCCTCGTTCATTTTCTCCTCCATCCATTTAGTTAACCTGAAAATAAATGGATAAAAGGAAGATAGAAAATAGAAACGACAACAACAAATCTATAAGCTGTTAAATTCCTCACTTCTGTCAGCCCATACACCCTAGTATTTACTTAATTTACTACACTAAACTTGGAACTTCACAGAAATACGTATATGTATATATATATATGGTAAAATACAGTATATTTAATAATAGCACATTTTATTCAGATTTTTATTTTTATTTTATTTTTATTGCATTTATATATGAATATTAAATATGGAGATAAAACATTTAAATGTAGATAATGATAGATAGATAGATAGATAGATAGATAGATAGATACTCACTCTGGAAGAGAGGCGGATGTTTTCTCTCTTTTTAACTGTAGCTGCTGCTTCAGACTGTCCACATGATTCTTCAGCTGAACCTCATCCAGCTCATCCATCTGAAATACCAGCCGTCATATTTGTTAAAGTCTCAAAGCTAAAAAATTCTGTAAATAATAGCTAGATTATTGTAATTCATTATAAAATAATTGTATATAAAATCTATAATTTCAGCATACTGTGATGAATTCAGAGTTGTGTTGCTGAAAAGTGAAGTGACAGGATTGTCAGGAGTCCTCCAGAAAAATCGAGTTTGAATGTTTTGTTCTATTGAAGAGGATGGTCTTCAACCAGGTGTGTCCGATTGTGTCCCTTTGGTAAATTCCTAGTGCACACGCAGGAGATTTATACAAACACCTGCCATTGAGGTTATGGAGCATTCAAACTACTTTGTTACTCAAATTCTCTCTCTACATCGCGAGTTGCAATGGGAGGGATGTTTAGCTCATTGGATGTATGTAAAACACATGCAAAACTGTTGAACAATGCCCTTTTGGCTTTACCTAGCCTTCGCCAGGAACAATAAACTTTAGAATAAATGTTGTGATGTTATCAAGAGACTACTTGTTTTTGTTTTTTATATAATAGTCAATTGATTATCTGTAAATCTTCCCCAAAATCATAAAGTCAGTGCATTTGCCAAAAAGCTACATTCTGATTTCTTTGAATTATTGTTGTAACACTTAAGCCACACTTGTTTGAGACTAAATACAACAATTGTCATGCTTTTGACACTTGATTGTAGCATACACTACAATCAAGAAAGATTTTTTACTATGAGAAAGATGTTTTATTTTTTTTATTCAGCAAGGATGCATTAAATTGATCAAAAGTGACAGTGAAGACTTCGACAGTGTTACAAAAAAATCTGTCAAATAAATGCTGTTCTTTTGAACTTTGTTCATCAAAGAATCCTGAAAAAAAGTATTATGGTTTCCACAAAAATATAAAGTTTTTGAAATCGAGAATACACAATGTTTCTTGAGCAGCAAATCACTATCAGCATATTAGAATGATTTCTGAAGGATCATGTGACACTGAAGAATGGAGGATTAATGCTGAAAATTCAGCTTTGCCATCACAGGAATAAATTACACTTTAAAATATATTCAATTATAAAACATTTTAAATTGTAATATTTCACAATATTACTGTTTTTTAGTAAACATTAAAGCAACCAACAACAGGGTGAATGTTCGAGTACCTCAGCGCTCCACTTCCTGTCATTTCTACTTGGGATTGATGTAACATAACCATTGGTTACTTCTACCATGTTTGCTTTTGGGTTAAAAGTGAAGGCACCTGCTCTGGGGTACTTCGGGACAAAAATGTCCCGAAGCGTTTTAAAAAAAAATGTTAAAAATTGTAGCTTCATCGGAATGGTTCGAAACTTGGTGACTTTTTTGGTACTTGGTATATGAACACCCCAAAAAATTGGGGACAGGATTTGAAAAGTCTAAGTGGTCGTAAAAAAAATAGTCACACTCAGGACCTTCGGGTCAAAAATGACCCCCATAGGAAATGAATGGGAAATTGGCAAAAATGTGAAAATACAGAGTTTTTTTTGTGCATACAATCTACAAAACAGCCAGGATGCAGAAAAAAAGCACACAACAGTGAAGGGGTGAATCTCTTAAAACAATGGGTGACAAAATGTTTTCCATTTGTTCTCTTTATAATGCAATGTTCAGGTTTGACTGTATTATAAAGTAAAACTGCCACTTCGAATTACCATTTAAACCAACCAATTTAAAAAAAAAAAAAAAAAATTTATAAAAAAAAATGACAAAAATAGTATTTGAGAATCTGTTATGATATATTCAAATCAACAACCTGAAAAAAATTTAACAATATGTGAAAAAATCACTAGAGTGTTTCTACCATAGGTTTCTACAGAGAGCTGTAAATCCACTAGTGGTAAAAACGTGCTATTGCGTGATAAAAATGCTCAGTGTGTCCACCAGATGGCTCCGATCTCATTTCAAAAATTGCTTTCATGAGGCCTAGACTTGACTCTAAAATGAAATACAGCTTTAATAAAAAAAATTTTTTTTAATTATATATATATAAATTTTCTATTATATTCAATGGGAAAAAATGGGTCTTAATTATTGCATAAATATTAATTATAAATCATAAAATTATCTCAAAACACCAAAAAAGAAAAGAAAAAATATTATTGAACAAAAATATATTTCATTGATTTTACTCAAATAAAATGTATCTTAATGCCGCCCTCCGGGTCAAAACTTTTTGACCCGAAGGTCCTGAGTGTGAGTCTAAAATTAAGTACCCCAGAGGGTTAATGAGATCAAGTGTTACGAGTGTGCAATGTTGTTTGTTGCTAAGCCTGTCTAAAGCTTGCCCTTTAGGCTACTTATAGTAAAGTACAGCTATATCTGCGAGACTGCGAGTCATGTGTGTTCTTAGTGGCGAGTTAGGGCTTGATGTCTTCTTACAGACAGCAATGAGGTGTGGTATGATGAAGATCAGCTTTTATTCCAAGTCAGATCAGTGCTTTATAGACAACATCTTTTTATGAATGCCCCTCCCCCGTAAAGTCCCAATTGTCTTACAGTACTACAACAGTGCTAAAGCCATAAATCATCATATATCAAAATAAGCCAATTACTGTGTGCATAAACACTTAACAAGTGTTAGTTTCCCAAAGTCAGGTTTGAAGTCTCAACGTCAATGTGAATGTAAACATTAAATGTTCCATTTTAGAGATGCTGTGTAAAATAAATTTTCCAATTACATGTACATCTAATTGTCTGCCATTAAACGAAGCAATAAAATGTTCTGCATGTACCAGCCATAAGGCACCCAGCTCTTTAGTCATTGGGATCAGGACCCATATTGGTCAACCACAACTCATAACTGCAATGTTTCTCAAGTCACAGTCAATAGCACAAGTAATAGGACATGTAGCATCAGATATGTTAAATGCTCTTCTGGCTGATTTTGTCGGTTCCTCCCAGGACTGTAGCTCCGGCAGCGTTCTCCACTCCTTGCAACCATTCAGAACATTTCAGTAGGACGCTTTGATCCACACTCTGCTCTTTGTCTTCCTCATATTCCACGTCATCGTATCGGTGGCGGTCATTCAGAAGAGAGATCTTCACCAGTGGGATGTTGGATCGAGAACCCGACTTGGTAGGCAGACGGCTTTTCTGGTGTGGTGCCGGTGCGGTGCCAGCGCTGCCACGGAGCAGCTTCTCACGGCTACGTTTCTGCAGGAGCAAAGTGGCCTCAGGTGTCAGGTTGAGAGAAAAGTTAGATTTGCTATTTAATCCCTGGCTTGATCCGGAGGAGGCCTGCGGACTACAAGAGTCTGTTGGGATGCTTGTTGCTGAAACACTGGCAGGAAACATCTTCTTGCTGGTTGTTGCCAAATTGCTTCCAGAGGTACTAATATCAGAAGTACTTTTAGAAGAAGTTGGGGTTGAAGAACTTGAAGGATCAGTGGGTCTTGAAGTCATAATCCAGGTGCTTTTACCCTCCATCCTCACGCCAGAAGTGGCTCGGCTGGTGGGCAACTTGCTTTTGTGTGGCGAGGCCTTTTTGCTCAACTTCTTGAGGCGCTCCTTCGCAGAACTTTTCTCCTCCACAGTCTTGATCGGAATGACAGGCGACGGTCCTGAAAGTTTTTCTTTGCCCGTGCTGTGAAGACTCCGAGGTCTGCTCACAGGTGGGAAAGGCATCTTCACCAGGTAGAGCAGCACGTAGCACAAGAACTCGGTCTTTGAGGTGTAATGCGACAGAAATGGGATGTGATCTTTCGCATGATCAGGACTACCAGTTGTTTCTAGAGCCCCCAACATCCACTTTTTTCTTCAGACAAAGCCACTGTGGAAATAGCGTGCAGGAATAGCTTGCTTATTTATAGGGTGTTGGGAAAAGGGGTTTGGCCAAGGCAATGTGTGAATCCTTTGGCGTAGGTAAGCTTAATACGTGCGGCTTAGAGTTGCATAACGTATCGAGATGTAAACATTCAATGCACTCTTGCTAAACTGTGGGATTGTAACGGTAGTAATGCAAATGAGAGTAGGCTAGAGTAGATTGTTTGATTTACAAAGCTTCTTTTTCACCAAACAGTCTTAGTCACATTGGTTAAACCCAACTCAGCAGCTTTCGTGGTTTCTAAATATATAGTCCTTACATACATGTCTGTAATAAAGGTTAGTGTTGTGTGTACATTGTAATTTAATATTGAAAAGACAGATCTTTCTGGACTTCTCTATACTACTATAGTTCCAAGTGCTCAACAAGCATTAGTATGTGTTTCTGATCCACACGTGTATAAGCATTTTCCCAATTAAAGGATCTTAGGGTTTACTGAACCTAATCTCTTTAAGAGGTCACGTCATCTATCTCGCGCATAGCCTGTAACTTTCTATTTACTTCTTGGCACCAGGTAAAGGTTCCTCCTGCATGCTGTAAGACTGACATCACAACCTATGTACATCCCAACAGTGTGACTGTAAGATGTTCATTCCCGAGGTGAGGCCAAAACTTCTGTCAGGGTGGAGAGTCATTTGAAGGCAGTCAATTTCTTTGGCCTGGGTAACGTATCACAGAACCTGATTTTACCAAGTGCAACATCACCCACTCAGATTTGACAAGTTTATAGTTTGTCAAGTTTAGGCTTACAACCAGAGTTAGGTGCTTCTACATCAGTGTTATTCACCCATCGTTTCACTCTGATTTTAGGGATAACTTAATGGTAGTGTTAGGGGTAGGGATAAAATTTTCAGACAGGAATGTTGTTCAAGGACCAACAAAATATGTTGACCCAGAAATGCGTGTAACTCGGCAAAATATGTCACAATTCCTATGGTATTTTAGGAGTTCTGAACAGATTTTGCAGTAAATATTCATCGCTGAGTTTAGAACTGTTGGTATAAACCGTAACTACAGCACCAGGGGCTAAAGGAACTTTCTACATAGTTAACTATGGATTAATGTGAATTCTGACAAAATATAAATGGCAAACATTTGCTTAAATAATATATATTTTGTTAATTACAGATATTTGAAGGTTTTTTTCAAAGTCAAACAGTCTAATTGTCATGGCTGCACCCTTTGACATCATAGTTCAAGATATACAGGTCCTTCTAAAAAAATTAGCATATTGTGATAAAGTTAATTATTTTCCATAATGTAATGATAAAAATTAAACTTTCATATATTTTAGATTCATTGCACACCAACTGAAATGTTTCAGTTTTTTTATTGTTTTAATACTGATGATTTTGGCATACAGCTCATGAAAACCCAAAATTCCTGTCTCCAAAAATTAGCACATTTCATCCGACCAATAAAAGAAGTGTTTTTAATACAAAAAAAAGAGTCAACCTTCAAATAATTATGTTCAGTTATGCACTCAATAGTCAATACTTGGTCGGGAATTCTTTTGCAGAAATGACTGCTTCAATGCGGCGTGGCATGGAGGCAATCAGCCTGTGGCACTGCTGAGGTGTTATGGAGGCCCAGGATGCTTCGATAGCGGCCTTAAAGGAGTAGTTCACTTTAAAAAAAAACTTTTGCTGATAATTTACTCACCTCCATGTCATCCAAGATGTCCATGTCTTTCTTTCTTCAGTCGAAAAGAAATTAAGGTTTTTGATGAAAACATTCCAGGATTTTTCTCCATATAATGCACTTTACTGGGCAGCAAACGGTTCAAGGTCCAAAAGACAGTTTCAGTGCAAACTGCAAACTGTTCAAAGGGCTTTAAACGATTCCAGACGATGAATAAGGGTCTTATCAAGCGAAACGATCGCTCATTTAAAAAATAAATAACAAAGTTTAAGTTTTATAAGCTCAAATGCCCGCCTTGCTCTGTTCTGTGTGACTCTCCTGTTCGAACTCGTTCATCAAAATGAACGAATCTTTTTCCGAGTCAATTCGTTCATTTCGTTCGTTAAATTAATCAAATGACTCGAAAAAAGATTTGTTCATTTTGATGAACGAGTTCGAACAGGAGAGTCACACAGAACAGAGCAAGGCGGGCATTTGAGCTTATAAAACTTAAACTTTGTTATTTATTTTTTAAATGAGTGATCGTTTCGCTTGATAAGACCCTTATTCATCGTCTGGAATCGTTTAAAGCCCTTTGAACAGTTTGCACTGAAACTGTCTTTTGGACCTTGGACAGTTTGGTGCCCAGTAAAGTGCATTATATGGAGAAAAATCCTGGAATGTTTTCATCAAAAATCTTAATTTCTTTTCGACTGAAGAAAGAAAGACATGGACATCTTGGATGACATGGGGGTGAGTAAATTATCAGCAAAAGTTTTTTTAAAAGTGAACTACTCCTTTAAGCTCATCCAGAGTGTTGGGTCTTGCGTCTCTCAACTTTCTCTTCACAATATCCCACAGATTCTCTATGGGGTTCAGGTCAGGAGAATTGGCAGGCCAATTGAGCACAGTAATACCATGGTCAGTAAACCATTTACCAGTGGTTTTGGCACTGTGATCAGGTGCCAGGTCGTGCTGAAAAATTAAATCTTCATCTCCATAAAGCTTTTCAGCAGATGGAAGCATGAAGTGCTCCAAAATCTCCTGATAGCTAGCTGCATTGACCCTGCCCTTGATAAAACACAGTGCACCAACACCAGCAGCTGACATGGCACCCCAGACCATCACTGACTGTGGGTACTTGACACCGGACTTCAGGAATTTTGGCATTTCCTTCTCCCCAGTCTTCCTCCAGACTCTGGCACCTTGATTTCCGAATGACATGCAAAACTGAGCAACAGTCCAGTGCTGCTTCTCTGTAGCCCAGGTCAGGCGCTTCTGCCGCTGTTTCTGGTTCAAAAGTGGCTTGACCTGGGGAATGCGGCACCTCTAGCCCATTTCCTGCACACGCCTGTGCACGGTGGCTCTGGATGTTTCTACTCCAGACTCAGTCCACTGCTTCCGCAGGTCCCCCAAGCTCTGGAATCGGTCTTCTCCACAATCTTCCTCAGGGTCCGGTCACCTCTTCTCGTTGTGCAGCGTTTTTTGCCACACTTTTTCCTTCCCACAGACTTCCCACTGAGGTGCCTTGATACACCACTCTGGGAACAGCCTATTTGTTCAGAAATTTCTTTCTGTCTTACCCTCTTGCTTGAGGGTGTCAATGATGGCCTTCTGGACAGCAGTCAGGTTGGCAGTCTAATGCCGAGTTCAGACTGCACGATTTTCAAAATAATCGGGTCACTGTTGTTTTCACACTGCATGACTATCTGGGGTAACGTTCAGTTGCTGCTGTGTTCACACTGAACGATGGATCGGCGACAGGAGGTTTCACACTGCATGACTTTACAAAAGAAAGGATCGCCGACAACTTCTGCCTGGTCCGCAAACTACGTTTCACAACCAAACAAACGCGAGAAGTGATAGGAAATAACGGAAGATCACGCGTGCGTGAGACCGGAGTTCTCGCGCGACACTGAATTTGTTATTAAAAATGATAGCCTACAAATTGTCTGTGCACTGATTTGTAGCGAAAATGAAAAATAAAAAAACTGTTTATGCAGGAAATGGTTGGGAAGACGAGGGGAGCAAGGAACTGTGTTTTGCAAAGAGAGTTGGGGGTAAATAAATAATTTTGCAAATGTCCTGCTGTTGCTGCTGGTCATGCAAATGTTTGTGCTTTGTTTCTGTTTGATATCATTGTAAATATAGGCCTATCTATTAAAATACTGATATTCTGGTCTATAACTCCTCCTCCTCCCTGTATCTTGCTCTCTCATTGGCTGTCGGTCATCGCCGATGTAGTTTTCAGTCAGAACACATTCACACAGCAGGATTGTGAATCGCCGACAGGTCCAGATATTTAGCATGCCAAATATCTCACGGGCGTCGGCGACTCGTCGGCGATTCTCTCAGATCGCGTCTTTGCTCATTCACACTGCGTGATTGTCACTCGCGTGAACGAGCACCGATTTGCCTGTGATTTCGGGCATTTGTCGGCAATTTCTCAAAACCTGTCGGCGAGCCAAAATCGGGGCTAAAATCGTGCAGTCTGAACTCGGCATTACCCATGATTGCGGTTTTGAGTTATGAAACAGGCTGGGAGTTTTTAAAAGCCTCAGGAATCTTTTGCAGGTGTTTAGAGTTAATTAGTTGATTCAGATGATTAGGTTAATAGCTCGTTTAGAGACCCTTTTCATATGCTAATTTTTTTAGACAGGAATTTTGGGTTTTCATGAGCTGTATGCCAAAATCATCAGTATTAAAACAATAAAAGACCTGAAATATTTCAGTTGGTGTGCAATGAATCTAAAATATATGAAAGTTGAATTTTTATCATTACATTATGGAAAATAATGAACTTTATCACAATATGCTATTTTTTTGAGAAGGACCTGTATAACTTGTGTGAAATGTTTTAGACATGTTCTTGTGGTTCCATCAGTCATGGTTAATCTTAATATTACAGAAAGTGAGTCTTGAGTCTGTGCCTAAACATCAGTCACAAATTTCATTCGAATGTCATTTTATTAAGCAAATTCATCATCATTTCCAGTCTTATGGTCTCTTGCTGTTGCTATATTGTGTTTTTTAGCATGCCTGGAATGCTGTATTGACCACTCATAATCCTTGACCTACTTACATTATGCCTGAATTTTTCTTGCCAACATATAGGTCTCAGAGACCTGAAAGTTGTTTTTAATGTTGGTATGAGGTTGCAGTGCTCTGTTTAGTAAGTAGGCAGCACTTTGAAACAGGCTCCCTCTACTGGAAATGAAGGTTATGTGTGAATTGTCCTAATGATACATCTTAAACAGTATCAGTGGGTAACCAGCAGAACCTTGGCATCTTGTTTTCAAGAAAGCAAGTAGCTGTATATACTGAAAATACTTGTTACACTCAAGATAATTAATCAGCCATGTGCAGAGCACATTAACTTATAAATGATTAAGCGATTACAGTTCTGGCAATTACAGTTCTTCTTTCACTGCAGCCTTCTGATGATTCAGATATTTCTTCCTCTGTTCCTCCTCCTGCAGAATATACACAAGCACAGCATGGTGAGTGGGCACAATAAACACAATTAATTTCTATTAATGTGAGAAGGAAATATCTTACCTTTGCTTTCTCCTTCTTGGCTTTTTCAATCTCTTTTTTCATAAATGTTACTATAGGCTTCAGCTTCCTTTTCCCAGAATATGGTACTACCTGGCAGATATTTTCGTTTTTAGATTATTACAAAAAACTAATAGGCTCAATCATGGACAGTACTCCTGAAGAATACACTAAAATCACATAACATTTATTTAGCACAGAGAATAACAGAAGAACATGGCTGTCCTGAATATGGAATTAACAATGAATATGAGATTTAAAATATTATGTAGAGCATGCGAGAACAGTTAATTGTAAAAGACTGCTTACCCTCTCTACATAAACGGCAGGAAATAATTTGATTGAAGGGTATTTTTCTCCTAGATGAAGGTTTACATCATTGGAAGTAACGTCAATCTTGGCAACAACAATATCTTCATGTTCACTAAAGTGTTCAGCAAGCTCATCCCACAATGGAAACAGATCACGACTTTCGCTGCTCCAATGTGCATCTATTGAAAAAGGGGATGTTCAAAATGCCTGTTTAACATTTTTACTCATCATGCTGTTTCTGGATATGTCAGGATACAGATGTACAATCATTCTCTAATTCAGTGCTTTTCAACCTGGGGGCTGGGGCCTCAAGATGACTTAAAATTATTTAAAATACAATAAAACAAGCATTAAAATAAGTTTATAAAATAAACAACTAAAAAAGGGGGAGGGGCCTTGAAGTCAAAAAGGTTGAGATCCACCTGCTCTGATTTCATCTACAAATATTTGGTTAATACAACAAATAACTTAAAATACAAAACTACCAAACCCAATTGCAAGCTGTAAGTGAAGACGCATAGACCCAGAGCCTAAAATGAACACTGTGTGTCAATCGACAGTTGGCCGGTAACATTTTTATGAATTCTAACAATGCAAAATTGTAAGAACATGAACAAACGTGAACGATGCTCGGGACAGTTGACGGGGAAGTGTTGCATCATCACAAAAGTTTAAATATTCAAGCTCAAGAAGACGCAAAAGGGAACTTCTGCAGACATATTCAAACAAAATTGTCAAAATGCCAGTCTTGGCAAGTATCCTTGTAAACATAGTCAGTTATGTCTTAAGTGAACGTAAACAGTAGAGAAATAAAACGTGTATGTATCAGTATATTGGATCTGTGCATTAGCTCATAAAGTGACAGAAGCCTAATATTCCCTCTGCTGTCTGTTTTTAATGTTAATCAAACAACAAACGACAAAGAACAATCACTCATTGCTCTTGACTGAATAACTTTTGTAACTTTAACAAGGATTAATCTATGTATCATGGATGGTAAAAAAATATATATGGCCGGTAAATTTTTCTTAAGTCACCGTTGGCGGGTGTGGCGAAAAGTTCGTTTTAGGCCCTGCATGGACCTATGATATCAAGTTGGAGAGGTCCACAATTCTAAGATTTCAGGTACCTACAGAACAAGACGATGACATTTTTGTTATGGTTGAAGGCCACTTTTTCAAAGTTCATCCCAACGAGCTCTTTCACTGGCTGTGTGTCCCAGTTTTCAGGAATTGGCTCACTCTGCAGCTTAGGCTATAACACACAAATTAGACAGATTGTTTGAGCTTTGAGTTCTATACATTTTATATTATAGTTATTTAAAAACTGAATAACACTCATAATTATATACTAGGGCTGTCAATAGATGAAAATGTTTAATTGCGATTAAGCGATTAATCACACGTTTTGGGAGATTATCCGCATTTACTCAAAAAAATTACTCTTTAAACTTACTTAATTTAATTATGGACAGTGGTTCCACACAAGCAAATTGCGTTTTATTAACATTAATGGGATTTTTTGAATCTATGTAAGCTCCTTGTGTTGTGACAACACAACTGAATGAGTCCAAACAAATCAATCCCTGTAACTTAAACCGGTTAAGTTTAGTGAACATGCTTTAGTTTATTTAAATCTTCACTGACAAATAAAAGTATGTAGGATTTACATAATTTCTCAATTGAAATTCTATACTATAGCTTGCTATTAGCTTATAACAGCACTTATTAACATATTAAATGCTAAGATGTATATGCTTTTTCAGCAACAAGAGTAATATTTTATTAATCAGTCCACATCCTAACCAAATGCTCCACTCTTCTCCACAATGGTAACCCACTGTAATTTAAAGGGTTCTAATAATTGCAATGTAATTGAACATTAAACACAATTACACACTATAAAGTCTTCCCCTTTCCTCATTTTCTCAAAAACACATAAAATAACACTTAATTTCAACATTTATTCGCTCTTAATTCAGCTATATGCAAAGCATGCTGAGAACTAACAAGCACCGCCCAGTTTAAGTTAATGCAACACAAATCATTCATGTCATCCAACAAACGGATTAAGTAAACTTTCATTTTACATATTTAAGCAGATTGAACACAATCAAATTAAGTTTGGACAAAATGTAGCAATTGTGTTGCTTAAGCTCATTTGAAGCAATTTGAACAATCAGCCAAAATATTTTTTTTTTCATTGCAATATATTTAAAGCATTCCAGGACAGACTTTCCGAAATACTCAAATGAAAGACTTTGCCTTTAGATTAACTTTATATTTTCTCTGAGGCCATGCACCTTTCCACTTTCTTCACACGGCATCTTCCTCCAATACGTTGGAAATAGTCACATCCAGGGTTTTTTGAATTGCGAAATTAAACTCTTTACATTAGTTTAACGAATGATAATTAAGTATAGTTGAAAATTATACAGGTTAAGTTAATTAAACGCAATACAATAGTGTCTTGGTGGTAAAAGAAATATATGTGTGTTACTTTAACAAAACATATTTGGGTAAAAAGAACAGTGCCACAAAACCATTTTTTATCGTGCAATTAAGCATAGGTCTACATAATTGATCTTGTTTAACGCGTCAAGCATTTTGAATTTATCGCATGCGTTAACGCATTAACAGCCCTATTACACTCACCGGCCACTTTATTAGGTACCCCATGCTAGTAACGGGTTGGACCCCCTTTTGCCTTCAGAACTGCCTCAATTCTTCGTGGCATAGATTCAACAAGGTGCTGGAAGCATTCCTCAGGGAGTTTGGTCCATATTGACATGATGGCATCACACAGTTGCCGCAGATTTGTCGGCTGCACATCCATGATGCGAATCTCCCGTTCCACCACATCCCAAAGATGCTCTATTGGGTTGAGATCTGGTGACTGTGGAGGCCATTTTAGTACAGTGAACTCATTGTCATGTTCAAGAAACCAATTTGAAATGATTAGAGCTTTGTGACATGGTGGAAGTAGCCATCAGAGGATGGGTACATGGTGGCCATAAAGGGATGGACATGGTCAGAAACAATGCTCAGGTAGGCCGTGGCATTTAAACGATGCCCAATTGGCACTAAGGGGCCTAAAGTGTGCCAGGAAAACATCCCCCACACCATTACACCACCACCACCAGCCTGCACAGTGGTAACAAGGCATGATGGTTCCATGTTCTCATTCTGTTTACGCCAAATTCTGACTCTAACATCTGAATGTCTCAACAGAAATCGAGACTCATCAGACCAGGCAACATTTTTCCAGTCTTCAACTGTTCAATTTTGGTGAGCTCTTGCAAATTGTAGCCTCTTTTTCCTATTTGTAGTGGAGATGAGTGGTACCCGGTGGAGTCTTCTGCTGTTGTAGCCCATCCGCCTCAAGGTTGTGCGTGTTGTGGCTTCACAAATGCTTTGCTGCATACCTCGGTTGTAACGAGTGGTTATTTCAGTCACTGTTGCCCTTCTATCAGCTCGAACCAGTCTGGCCATTCTCCTCTGACCTCTGGCATCAACAAGGCATTTCCGCCCACAGAACTGCCGCTCACTGGATGTTTTTTCTTTTTCGGACCATTCTCTGTAAACCCTAGAGATGGTTGTGTGTGAAAATCCCAGTAGATTAGCAGTTTCTGAAATACTCAGACCAGCCCTTCTGGCACCAACAATCATGCCACGTTCAAACTCACTCAAATCAACTTTCTTCCCCATACTGATGCTCGGTTTGAACTGCAGGAGATTGTCTTGACCATGTCTACATGCCTAAATGCACTGAGTTGCCGCCATGTGATTGGCTGCTTAGAAATTAAGTGTTAACGAGCAGTTGGACAGGTGTACCTAATAAAGTGGCCGGTGAGTGTATATACGGCTATTAATTAAACTTAATACATATATAAAATATAGTATATAAATATATTTCATATTTATTTAATATAAACTATATTAGTACGTTTACATTTGTACACTAGTACATTTGTGTATAATAGAATTAATTTAATTTAAATTAAATTACCATGCTGTATTGAAAGTACAGAAAGATAAAAAAATCCACTTGTTTCATTTCCCCCTGTATACTCACCTTAGCTTTCCCGCCCAGGTAACTCAGACAGAACTCTAAAACAGTGTGTGCATCAAACCGATCAGATGGCAGTTGGTATTGGACGTTGTCTGATAAATTGACCATGCGGACCTGAGGCGCTTCTTCTGACCTCACACGGAAATACTCCATAATACGGCCATTCCGTGGCTCACTCACATCAATCATTACAAACATAACCTGATGATAGAGTTTTTAAAGTGTGCAACGTTACTGTAATACAAAAGCAACCAGACAACAGAAAGACTTCAGACAATATCGTAATGATAATCTACAGTATTTCTATGGATTTATTACACTGACCTTCCCTCTGAGTTTTTCCGCAGCGGTTTTAAAAGCGTGGTATAGCTCTTCAAATCCATCCTCAGTCTTATTAATAAACAGAAGCAAATGGTTCAGCACCACTGAGTTTAGGATCTTAGATGCTGTCTGGGAGGAACCCAAAAAAGGTAAGAGGTTTGTTCATTTTTATACATGTCACAATGCCTATTTATTCAAATATATATAAAGTTACCACGCCGTTGTACTCGGTCACGAGTTCCATCTCATAAAGTCTGATAAAATGAAAGAGATCTTTCTTCACTGTGCTGCTTCCCACCTCAAACTGCTTGTCAGGTTTAGACTAAAGACAATGATATGCATGGATGAGATCATTCATATGATAAAAAGAAGGCACCTTACTGTTTTTTGGTAGACATTTAGGAAATGGTTTGGGGGAAATGTTACAAGTCAGATTTGAACCTGCCCTGTCCAAGTGAGCTCCGACAGATTCTCACCTTTCTGATGAGGAGAACAGTGTCTCCGCTGATCTCATACTTGCTGAAGATTTCATCATGTCCTGTTACTCCAAAGGGCAGGTCAGCGATGTCATTGGCTGTTTCATAAAACACTTTCACTATGCCTTCTTCAAGACCCTGTAATGTATAAACACAGACGAACATCATTAAAAACAGTGGCTAATGCAACAATACAATAAAACATCTTGAATTATGAGTTATTAGTCCTCCGCAAAACATGATCTTGATCATGTTTTGATCATTGATCATGAATGTTTTAAAACATCTTAAGTTATGGCTGATTCATGAATGAATCCTTCTTTTGAAATGATTCTTTAAAATAATTAGATAAAATTAGTATAATATGACAAATGCATACATGTAATGCCCTATAGGACTTCTGCGAACAGTTCTGAGAGATGATTCAAATGAATCAGTGAAGCATTTTTTTTTTTTTTACTGAGAATAACTGGGGAAAATAACAGATTCACTCAAATAAATTCCCACGTTACCTTGAATAATCCAAGCACCACAAGCTCATCTTCACCTATGAACTTTTCCAGCTGTGTGAGATTACTGATGATTTCAGCGCTCGGACCCTTTCTTCTTTTAAGCCATGTCAGGATGGAGGCGGAGTTCTTAAGATCTGGGGGTGGAGTCAAACAACAAACATTGACACTAAAAGGGATGTATCCCCATATTCAAGTTTTGAAAGACATGAGGGTGATTAAATGAAAGATTTTGTTATTATTTTGTCTAACATGTCTGTCAACATAAGAAAAAAATATATATATATATTTTAACATTACCAGGACAGTACACTGGGTTGTTCTTGTCTCCAGACAGGTACAGCCGTATTGATGGTATTGTTGTGACGTTAAGGGATGCAAAAAGACCTTTTTCTTTTTTCACATCCACTCCTCCCAGCCTCACATCAGACTTAGCTTCCTTCAGCGCAACAGCTGCTTCTCTAAACTCCAGGATAGAGCCAAGGGACTGGCCAGAAAGAGGTGCATCTACAGCAGGTATGAGAAAAAGCTGCAACTTGTTTCAAATATTCACCACAGAATGTTTTATAGGGGCATTTTGTTGTGGTCCCAGATGTGCCGACTCTAGACTCTAATTTGCTTTCTAGTTTGCTTCTAGTCTGTCTTTATACACGTGTGTGTCTTCATTAGTAAGTAAATAGTCATTCAGCAGATGTTTTCATCCAAAAACAACATAATTCTCCACAGGTTAAGTGACTGGCTCAAAGGCACAGTGGTGATTGCTCATTGTTCATTTCTTGTGGAGATCGAACCAGAAACTTTCCAATAACCAGCCCTGAGATTCAAGCAGAACATAATTTAGGGTTCATTTTAAAAGTATTTGATATAGCTTGTTAAAATCTCATGGAAACAACTCGAGGAGTATCAACGAGGAAAAAAACTGGAGAAAGTAAAAGGTAGGCCTACTCTTAATGTCTTTACTTCGAGTTGGTCTATATTGATTTGTCACCTCACGTAGCTGGATTTACGACAGAAAAGCCATAAAAACATATGCAAGGAGATATACTCACAGAAGTGCACCAATAGCTGGTTGTATTGTTTAAGAGCTCGTTCAAAATTGCCTTCTGTCAGCACTAGAACATCGTTGTCCTCGAGGATTGAGTTGGAATCGCTTTCCGCCAGAGCTTCGCGTAAATACACGCACAAGCTCAGGCACAGCGCAAAGCACACCTTCATTCTGCCTTCAGAAGCTGAAACGGACCCTCCGACCTTTGAGTGTGTGAGAGTGTGTGAAGCGCTACATTAAAAGGCGTGTGCGTATAGTAATCTTGAGTGTTTAGGCGATATCAGTGTGTACTTTGGCAATGGAAAGTTTACAGCCAATACGAAGAGAGATAGATAACATTTGGACGATGACAGAGAGAAGAGAACAATAGCTGACTGTTTGTGATTTGTGCACAAATCTGTAGTCCACACGGTAGAGACAACTCTTAGCCTACACAGTCATTTTTCCTTAATAAGGAATTTAATAGGATTTAAAAAACACATTTAAAAAAAGTTCAAAATAGTTTTAACTCAAGTAGCCTATTCTAGCCATTTTTATTTATTTTTAACAAAAGACAAGACAAGAATAGTAATGCTGCTTTCATGTGCAATCAGAATTATTGTAAATACGAGTTTTCTAGTTAAATAGCTGCAAGCCGTAATTATGGGGCCAGGCCAAGCCCTTTATATGGCTATATTTGGCATATTTGGACATTAGATTTTATTAGGGAATTTTTTGAACATTGCACAATTCACATTGTCATTTGATCAAACAATCTTCAAACATCTTGCCTGTTGCTTTACGGAGCACACCACCTCACTCATATGCCTTGATTTGTTTAATTTGACTTGAGAAAGAGACTTGAGATGTTGAAAGCAAAATTGCTCGAATAAAATGCTTAGGCTAAGTATGTGATAATGACATTTGGTCCTAGAAGTCTTAAAACTACTACTGTGTGAAAACTTAGGACTCATCTATCTATAAATTACAGGAACGTCTGTCTGACTGTGTGTCTGTCTGTTAATCGAATATCTCTCGAACCGTTAGTGACTTGCTACGGGCACGAGTAAGTGCAGTGCCGAGTTTGACGTTGTTCGGATTAGAAATGCAAAAGATATCGTTAAATATATCTGTAAAAGAAGCACACATTATTATTATAATAATGTTACATTATTATTATTATACATTTGTTACATTATTATTTTGTTACATTTGTTACATTTTTGTTTTAAAAAAAAGTAGCGATTCTTTTTGAAAAAATAGCGATTCTTTTTGGAAAAAGTAGCGATTCTTTTTGAAAAAGTAGCGTTTCTTTTTTGAAAAAGTAGCAATTCTTTTTGAAAAAATTTGCGATTCTTTAAAAAAAAAATCTTTTAAAGATTCTTTAAAAAAAAGTAGCGATTCTTTTTAGAAAAATTAGCGATTCTTTTTGGAAAAAATAGCAATTCTTTTTGGAAAAAGTAGCGATTCTTTTTGAAAAAGTAGCGATTCTTTTTGGAAAAAGTAGCGATTCTTTTTGAAAAAGTAGTGATTCTTTTTGAAAAAAGTAGAAATTCTTTTGAAAAAGTAGCGATTCTTTTTGAAAAAGTAGCGTTTCTTTTGAAAAAGTAGCGATTCTTTTTGAAAAAAGTAGCGATTCTTTTTGAAAAAGTAGCGATTCTTTTTGAAAAAGTAGCGATTCTTTTTGGAAAAAGTAGCGATTCTTTTTGAAAAAGTAGCGATTCTTTTTGGAAAAAGTAGTGCAAAAAATGTAATTATACATTTGTTAGTCTTATATATTTATTACAAAGTAATTATACATTTATTAGTGTTATTATACATTTATTACAATGTAATTACGTTTATTACAGTGTTATTATACATTTGGACATTGCACCATATTACAAGCGTAGGTTGTAACACATGCTGGGGTAAGTTGTAACAATTAGACAAGAGAAGCAAAAATAGCAGCCACACCATGCAATATGCTTCAAAATAAGTTTATTGAAACACTCTAAAAATGAATACAAAACAATGTCTCTCTTTCTGTGACCAGAACTCAAATCCACTTACTGTTTGAGTCAGGAGTGTGTGCATGTGTGTGTATAAATTAGTCTACTAGTACAAACTTCATTAACGTTATATATGCTTACTGGACACTTGACTTCAGTCTCAGTAAAGAAAATGTAGGTCTAACACATTTTGAACAATATTTTCAAATGTAGAAACTTATATCTATGGAACTCTAGGTAGGAATGCTTTCAAATTTCTCAGGTACCTTTAGGACATGCTGTCAATGAACCCTACCAAATTTTGTGTCGATATGCCAAAACGTTAAAAAAAAAATATCACAGTTTATGTCAAATTTCAAAATGGCGGACAGGCGATTTGTCCTATACTGGCAAAATTGGTATTGTCTGATACGGCATGACCCAAGGAACACACAAACAAGCTCATAATTCTGATAAACATTTAGAAAGTTATGAGCAAAATAGGCTTTTTTTGAGCTTTAATGGCTTTTTAAGCCAGGACTAAACCTTAGTTAAATTAGGACATTTAGCTTTTATAAACATGCCTTAGAAAGAACATTACTGGTGTGCATCTTGAGACAAAAGTGAACAGATGTAAATGTTAACTTTCAGATATGTTGGTATCATGAGAAGTAATGTGAATGAAATTGAATAATGTGGTAAAATCAAAGTACAGCTGTCAGATCAATTGAAGTTGTTCAGTTTTTCACATTTCTTCACCAGAGGTCAAGACCACATATAGATATCGTAGAGGTAATTAAACAACAGCACTCTTCATTTTTTTCAATTTCAATGTCAAGACAACAAAATATATACCAAAATATGGGGGGGCTAATATGAAAAAAGTTTTGGTGAAAAATCAGTTTGTTTTTTTCTTCAACAATAAAATGTCAACAATAGATTGTTTTAGGACACTTTATTTTTCCACATTATCCCTTCAATTTATTTTTCCAAAGTCATTTTCAGTATGTTCAAAAAAAAAAACAAGTGCATGTTTTCTACATATTTTGCAGCATTACTCCGTAACTTGGCTATTGTACTTAAACAGCCCTGAGATCATTCCACTGGCATCAATTCATTACCCAGTCCAACAACAAGAAAACAAACAAGAAAAAGTGCAATCTCTGCCTTTAACAACAGATTAAGGTAAAACAGATTCTGAGTTCCTTTACTTTTTTATTGCACACATGTACTTGAAAATAATAGTGGTAACCTACACCACATGTAAATTACTATAGTTCCAGTTACTTTTCATAAATAGGTCAGGATTGTGGATCTTCACTGATAAGATGGCCTCTGAGAGAGAGAAATGACAGCTGCAAAGTTATGAATAGATAAGTAGTTTCTGCCTTCAAGTTTTTAAAGTAAGTGCATTACAAGTGCATAGGACTGCACTGTGGTGACATGGCTTGTCATATCATTCAAGTTCTAATCTTAATACTCTGATAAACAAAAGACTTACATTGTTGTCCATATGTCCATTCTGGATAAAGGCATTTTTACTGCAAATAAACAGTTTTGAAGGAGTTTTGATTCAAAAATATACAAATGAAAAGTCTCTTTGCCAAGCCATAATCTCCTCCTCTAATTCGAATTCATATTAATGTTCAGTCATATTAACTCCATCTTCAAGATCTTACAAAAAGTGAAAAATTTTGCTTTATGTATCAGCCGTCTTTAATCTCATTCTAATGGCCATTAATGTAGTTTTCTCTGAGTGTTATGACCATCTGTGTGGATCTGGCTTCCATCTGTGTCAAAAACAAAATGTAATTTAATCTCTCAATATAACGGATGAGATGGTTAAATTAAACCAGCATTACATTGAGCAATCAACATGAAATGGCACACATGACCCATTTTACTTCCATAATTTGACATATTTCCATGTAAAAGAACATTTAATGATTTAAAAGATGGTGGGACTTAATTTTATTAATTGAATTTATCAGTTTTTGAAAATGAATCCAGCACAATAAGACCAGGAACATTTATTACAGTAAATTGAGTCAATGTTGGTTTCATGTTGACTTTAAAACATTACACAACTATAAGACTGACATCACGGAGTCTAGTGTATGATGTCAAAGAAAGAAAGACCTAAAAACTATATGGTTTCTTATTAAACAGATTTGTGTACCGGTCCACCACAAAAACAATTTTTTTTTTTTTTACTATATTAATAACTAGAGATCCTTTGAACTAAAACAGACTAAAACATTACTGCGTAAAAGTCAAATTAAATTAAAAAGTTCAACTATTAATAATAGTATGCTACAGAAAAACAGGTGAAAAAAAAGATACATAATGCAAGCAAACATCACGACGAACACAATAAATAATGTGGGCATGTTTCAACTGTCCCTATGGGCTTTTCTAAAGTTGTGTAAATTTACCTAAACCAAAGAGCCATGGTGTTAAAGAATGAAGAGGAGCAGAAGAGGAAACAGGGACAGACAGAAGATGAAGCGTGCTAGAGCACAGCATGGAGTTACCTGAAATAGGAAAGAGAGGAAGAGGAAGAAGAAGAAGAAAACACCAGGATGACAAATGCAACATTACAGCAATGGAGCAAAGTGCTTTAAACAACATCACACCAGAGTTGAGCTTCAGCTCATCCACTCCATCCAATGCACAAGACAAGAGTACCAAACCTTTGTGTAATGTAACAGATATCATGAATTTATCAAGCCCCTGTGAAAGGTGACGTGTGTCATTTTTGAAATGCTAAAATGGTTTTGGGAAATGGAAGATCAAGTTGAATTTGCATCATATAAATATTAAGAGTAGCACGCAAGCGTTTAAGAACCTGTTTGGAATCAATTCCATCTGGTGGAGCAATTGGAGCATAAATCACACACTTCACCTTTAAATAAACAGAGATGATTCTTACCAAGTTTCCATGCTTAATGTTCAGGGTCAATATCTGCTCACCGTGTGCGAGACCATGCTGGAAAGTTCCAGGAGCTGGGCCAGGAAAAACAGCTCCTTTACAGGCCTGAGGCGGTCCAGGGATCTGGGTGCCAGGGCTCAGTCCAGGGAACGGGAGAGCATGCAGGGGGACAAAGCTTGGTAAGACTCCCGGCTGTGCTGTGGTGGGATAGGAGGATGGAAGGAGAGATAGAGAAGGGGTGGGAAGCGCCGGGTTCCCACAGGAGATCTCACCAGCTGCCTGAAATACAAGCAAAGAAAAAAAAAAAAGTATTATACAATTTTATTTCAATTTAAGAAAACCTTTAAACCCTTATTGCTTCAGGCAAATCCCTATTTGACTTCAAAGAAGTCAAATAGGGCTATATGGACTCGATTAAATTGTTCAAAAGTGATAGTAAAGATATTTTTTTTTTACTGTTCTTTTGAACTTAATATCAAAGAATGTTTTAAACAAATGTACCACTGTTTCCACAAATACATTAAGCAGCACAACTGTTCTCAAAATTGATAAATAAAAAGTATTGATCGACATATTTGAATGATTTCTGAAGGATCATGTGACACTGAAGACTGAGTAATGATGCTGAAAATTCAGCTTTGAATAAATTGCAATGAACAATTATTTTAAATGGTAATAATTTTACAATATTACTGTTTTTACTGGTGAGCATAAGAGACTTCTGTCAAAAACATATCACCATATATATATATATATATATATATATATATATATATATATATATAGGAAATATATTCCTATATTTTAATATTTAACATTTATCTCACTTATGCTATAACCACTAAGTGGCCAAATTTAACAGTGTTTTAAGTTAGCATGCCATCCGATTTGCCTGTATACCCGTCACAATTTAAATAAGATATTATGTTTATATTTTCCATGATCAGGATATGATTATATACGATAATAAAAAATAAATGAATAATATTATTAAAAAAAACATTAAAAAAAATAATACTTCAATGTAACATCCTACAGTGGACATTATTTATATGAATCATTTAGGAAGGATGTTGTATGACACCACAACTTATATGATGATCCACATGCAATAAGCAACCAATATGCGTCTTTCTTGTGAAGAACTCACGGCTGCCAATGAAACAGGGGTGTCACCCATTGAGGTGGTCGTGAGCAGCCGGGCCACTCCATGCACCACTGATGGACAGTCACTCTGAGCTCCATCTGGGGGAGCCACCAGCGTCAGTTTAGGAGTCGCCTTCTCTCCGGCCTGGAGGCGCTTTGAATCCGAATCCATAGCAGACTTGGTCCACATCATCTGGACCGATCCAGCACCCTCTGCGGTCACCGGACTTCTCTGAGTGCTGGTATGATGGTTGTCATCTCTTTCCATCCCTTCCTCGTGGTTCTGAATAGATGGATGGGTAGAGAAGGTGGCAGATGTTTGTGTGTTTGATGGAGTTTTGGCAGTGGTGCTCAACGTTGCTGCGACTTCAAGTTGCATGCTTGCAGGTACACCCAGACGCTTGCGTTTCAGTGCTGGTGGGCCCTGAATTTCCGGGTTATTCTTACTGTCCTCTGGGGCGGCGCTGACCTGTGCATTTATTGGATAAAACAAGGTTTAGAAACAAAAGTCTAAAAGAATGCAATATTCAAGACAGGGGTTTGCTAATTTTTCGCATGTACCTTTTTTAGTTTTGTTGTACCTATTGGTTTCTTCCTTGCCCTGTAAAATAAGGAGAACGGGTTTATTAACATTTACAAACTTTGGTTAAGTTTAATATTTACCAAGGAAGACTCCACTTTGTTCATTTTTGTTAGAGTTAGAGAATATAATGAACCAATTTTTTTCTTCAGAAACATTGGCTAAATATCTGGGAAGTGTGTAAAAATCATACTTACACCACACCAGTGATGTGACCGTGTGCTTTTCTCGTTTCTATAAGCAGAATCCTTTTGAGACAATGATAGGCATTCAGCAGAAACTTACCATTTTGAAAGGAACTATTATTATAGATATACACACAAGCGTTCAAAAGTTTGGCATGATGATTTTTTTTTTTTTTTTTTACAGAAATTACTGTCACATTTGATCAATTTAATGTGTGCTTGCTGAATAAAAGTACAAGTTTTAGTGTGGTATCAGACTTTTCGGAAGACTAATTAAAACAGATATAATAAAATGTTTAAGAGCAATATACATGCACAGAACAAAGGGACATTGTGACCAATTACCCACAAAACTTCAGAGTCTTAATGATTTGATTTGTTTACCTGGATTGCATCCATCCTTTAGGCCACAGTGGTTTAACATCAGCCTCCAGGAATGCTTTCAGATACTCCTCCAAACCAGAGCATGCAGGCGACTCCGAATCATAAATCATCATTTTCAAACTGACAATCTCGCAGAGCAACTCCCTGTAAAAGTCAATAGTCATTCAATTAATAGAGTATTTGATGAAATGTACATTGAACTCTTTTTTTCTATATTTATAACTTTTAATAATCATGCATCAGACCTGATATCTTCATTCCACCTGAATCTCTTGCGAGGCCCAAACACTCGTTTTCCACTCCTCTCCTCCTCTTCCTCGTCGGAACCATCAATCGCCCTCTCTTTCTCAGCCTCGAGCCTTAAAACACACAAAAAAACAAACCTGAGGTTGTATTCTAACAAACTGCATATCAATTAAACGTCAGTGAATGTACAGTATAGTGATACAGTAAAAGAGATCAAGGTATCACACATTAGAAATGAGTGATTACTTGGCAGCTCTGGCTTCAGAGTGAGCTTGGCAGTGACTCTGGAAACGGGTGATCTGTTCAGGCATGGACCTGGCCACCACATTCTCCAGCTTCTTCAGCAGCTCCTGCAGCTGTTCATCCTCATAAGACACATGACCAGCACATTAAGCTTACAGAGACTGTTAAACTGGATATACACACACACACACACACACACACACACACACACACACACACACACACACACACACCAGTAAGGTCTTTTCAAATGTTTTTGACTATTTCTTATTTCTCACCAAAGCTGCATTTATTTGATCAAAAAATACAGTAAAAAGAGTAATATTGTGACGTATTACAATTCAGGGACGTGCACAGGGGGGTTGCTCAGGTTGCCCGGGCAACTGCCCATATGCCCTTCTCACTCAAGTTGCCCTTCCGAGAAAAAAATTAAATCGTACAATGGATGCAGAATTTCATGTAGGCCTAGATTTAAAAAAAAAAATCGCAAAGCCTCATTCACTTCCATTCGGGCACCGAAAGTGAAAGTCAGTATGAAGGGCAAACGCTGCACGCGACCGGCGTAGGGCCACGCAAATTACTTAAGGCCACGCCTCCATCTCGTGTCATAGTCATAGCGCGCCGTCAAATGTGTAGCTACAACATCCACGACAAAATGAAGCGAAACTATCCTTCTGGTCACGAAAAGAGGAAGAAGAAAAAAAACATGAGAGTGAATTGCGGGAACAACAATCAGGTAAACTTGTGTTCTCTCCTCTCTAAGTTTGATGTCAGCAAAGTTTGATGTTTTTCGGTCTTGCTAAGCTGGGCAGGGCAGGCAGTGCATCTCTTGCATCACTTTGTGCCTGACAAAAGTGAGAGTAAAATACAATTATTTATTACGTTTGTTTTTGATAAACGACAAAGTGCAACGGTGTTTGTTTACTGCAGCTCGGAAAACATAACCGCGTCGCGTGTGTTATCATGCGTTAATATGCGCTTGCACGAAATGAAACTCGCATTTTTCAAGCAGAAATATGTGGAGACCAGACATACTGTACAATACATGCACGTGAATGATGGCACTCCCAATCAAAGTACACATTATAAAACAAGACACTGATTATCTAGTCTCAGTGTAGTTAAAAACTCTAAACAACTGCACTAATTATGCAAGATAGAAAGCAATGTATTGACAATTTGACATTGATTGACTATTGATTTATAGGCTATATTGAATTTAAAATGTTGATTAGCTGGACATACTGGTCAATATGGATGCACATCCCTCAGTAAATAATAACCATAAATCAAGAATTGCTTCAACTGAAAATTAAAAAATCATACTGATGCCGAAAATGCCCAGGCTGTAGAAAGAACCAAAGTTAATCCCAAAAGCCAAAGCTCAGGGTTATAATTTATTATTTTCTTCTTATTTTACGTTAATATTCACTTACTTAATAATATTCACTTATTATCTTAACATTCTATAGAAAATACTCTATTCAACAAATATTGTTTGTTTGAACCTCATTCTGTTCTATATTCTTGTACTTATTCTTTGACTGTTTTGTTTAAAGGAGGGAGGATTGTATTGAGAGCACTGAAGTGTCAGTTGTGACTGTGGCAATGGCAAATGGTTTACATAGCTCACGACATCACAGGTCAGGTAGAGGGCCCTTTAGCAGAATTAGGCTTAGGGCCCGAGGAGGAGGTCAGGATCGGCACTGGGTTTAGCAGTCGATTCTGTTCCCTACCGGTATTCCTGTTCCCTTTACGCAATCATATTACAAATCATGCGTAGTTGCCCAGATTAGCAAAAAGCACAATTTAATGTACGGGAAGCCAAAAGGTTAAAAAGGATTGTATTTTTTCCGAAATCTAAGCGTTTTTTTTTTTTTTTTTATTAGAAGCGAGTTTTTCCCCATCTGTCAATTCAATCCAGATTATTTATTTAAAAAATAATAATAATAATAATAATTAAAAAACAATAAACAATAATATGAGGAACTCTTTTTCTCATGTGTATTTTGGTGACATTTAACATATTGTTAATACATTTTGTATACTGTTTACAAAGTTGTATATCATAAACCTGTCATCTTTGACGTTTGCAATCTTAATAAATAATAATAAGACCATAATATGAGGCATTGCGTCGTTTGGACATAAACACGATCAGATAAGGCAATTTGTATGGGCAAAATTCAACTGAATATATTCCTTCATATAGCCCGTGAGTTTTGGGGGTAGTGCCCTTTTTTCAGGTCAGAGCAACTGCCCCACAAAATTCCTGTGCACGTCCCTGTTACAATTTAAAATAACTTTTATATTTGAATACATTTTGATGCAAAGCTGAATTTTCAGCATCATTACTCCAATCTTCAGTGTCACATGATCCTTCAGACATTATTCTAATATGCTGATTTGCTGCTCAAGAGACATTTAATGTTTTTGTGGACGCGTGATGTATTGATTTTTTTCAGGATTCTACAAATATTTACCATTTATTTGAAAGGTAAATCTTTTGTAATACTGTATATTAAGTGTTTTTACGGTCACTTTTGATCAATTTAACGCAGTATTAATTTCTAAAAAAAAAAAAAAAAAATCTCTTACTGACCCCAAACTTTTGACCAGTACTACTGCTACTGTGTATATGTACATTTATAAAAGTTTGTGTTTTTTATGTTTAATTATGATTAACGATTTTGGAAATCATGTACAATAAGACCAGGAACAAGAAAGGTATTAATAAAGTAAACAGGATCAATTTTAAAGGAATACGTTTTTTTTTACTAATTAGTAGGGATGTCCCGATCAAGTTTTTTGTGCCCCCGATCCGATCCAAGTAATTGAATATTGAGTATGTGCCGATACGGAGTCCCGATCCGATACTTGTATTTTCCTAGTGCTTGCTGCACATCTCTCACAGTCTCTCAGGGGCTCAAATGTAAAAAAAAAAAAAGGGGGGCATAAATCACTACAGAGTAATTCTAACACAACAATTAATACAGCAATTATATTCATAGGCCTATATATATACATTGTATAAAGACATTGGTTGATGTAAACATCTGTTACTATGGTAAACATTGTAAACAGAATCTGTGGTACCACTAAAATACACTTTTTTATATTTTATAGAATTATTGCAAGAAAAAAAAAAAAAAGTGGATTTAAGGTTAGAAAGTCCGAAGAAAGACGCAACCCATATAGCAACGCGCTATGTTAACTGCTGAAATAACTGCTGACATAAAATAAAGGATCGGGCTTAGGATAGCAGACACAGTTTAGATGGGATGGTGATGTTTGCTATGCTGAGGTGTCGAGTACGTTTACAGACCTGGTGTAGATTGTGGATTTTTTTGGCTCTTTTAACCAGAGTGCCTTTGCTGCAGGACAGCTGTGATGCCAAGTAGGAGAAGATTCTGGAGCGTACTTTCCCACTAAGCTGTTTGGAGTTCAACTCCACGCTGAACATACAAAGAGAAGGAATCAATGCAATACAATCTAGATGTTACCTGTTCTATAACAAATCATGGGATGTAACTTACTTTAGTAATAGCAAAACACTGTTGAGCTCTGAAGACAAAATCTCCATCTTATTTTGTCCTTCAATTTTCTTGACAGCCTAAAGAACAAAATAAGTCATGTAGACCTGCAAACTCTTGTCTAATCCTCTAAAGCCATAAAAGCAAACAATACCTCTGAAAGTTGCTTAATGTGTTGCTCTAGTGTAGGTGGCAGTCCATCAGGGAGTAATGTGGGGATCTTCTCAGTGACGGATGGAGTCGGAGCTTCTCCGTTCTCTTCCAGGCTTGGAGAACAGACGTTCTGCGGTTCCCCCAAGAGCCCGTCCAAGTCAAAGTCTTGCTCCGCTGCTTTGACTGCTTGAAGAAGGTCGTCTGCACTGGCAGAACCAATGAGTGTGAGAAGAGGGTCAGATGATGCGGGTGGTTCTTGAACCTCAGCTTGCACGGTGGGGCCAGTGTCGTTGAGAGCATGCGATTCTCTCTCTCTAGCATTGAACATCTGCAGCTGCTGAAGCTTTTCCTTATGGAACTTCTTCAGCATCTTATCAATACTTAGCGGCTTCTTGTTTTTCTTCTTCTTTGTAGATGATTTGTCTGGTGGGGTGCTGAGAAGGAAACCAGAAGAAGGAAAAGCAAACAATGAGGGCATTTGAGAAAGAATCAATGGAAACCTTGTTCCTTAAAAGGAGGTTGTGAAAAATGTATGTTTTCTTCACAGTAAACTTGTTCTCTTAATCTAAATTGATCTCTGCAGCAGCAAAAACCTCTTCCTGGCTTCCTCCTCTTCCTTCTTAGCAAGCATGTCATCTTCTCTCTTTTTCTTCCCCATCCTCTTGTCTTTGCCTTGCTTAAGCTTTCGTTTCTGAGAGAGGAATCAGACCAAATGAGATAATGTTGACAAATGGAAACAATTTTGCAAATCTTTTGCATAAAGCTAAAGAAAAAAAAGCTAGTTGTTGCTAGTTTGTTTGCAAGATAGTGGGTACAAAACTATGGAAGCTTGTTTCCACCACAGAATTTAAAAATATAAATTGTTCTTTTTATCTCACAATTCTGACTTTATAACTCCAATTGCAAGTTTATATCTCCAACTATGACTTTGACAATTGCAAGGAAAGGGTCATTATCTTGCAATTCTGACTTTATAACACGCAATTGCGAGAAAAGTCTAAATTGCAAGTTTGTTTTTTCACAATTCTTGAGACTTTATATCTTGCAATTCAAACTTTTTTCTCACAGTTCTGACTTTATAACACGTAATTGTGAGTGAAGTTAGAATTTATATATATATATATATATATATATATATAAACTTCTTTTATAAACTTTTTTTTAAAACTTTTATTCAGTGGTGGAAACAGGCTACTATACAAAACAGATGGAAGGGTAGTCAAATGTTTACGCACCTTGGGTTTAAAACCAGTGTCCTCAAAATCATTCTCGTTATTTCCCTCATCAGAGGCTGGCCGGAACTGGAGAGTTCCAGAGTTGATGTAGAAGCCTCCATATCTGGTGGTGAGACAAGCTGGGACGAGCTCATCATACTGTGACATGCAGAGCAAAAGAAGACTTGAGTAAAACATACATGTGTTCTATAAGGGGAATAATCTGATAAAGGTGGTTTTAGCATCTGGCTAAAAACAGTGGCCTGAGAACTCACAGCCTCGGAGTTATCAATGAATGAATCGGATTCATCGTAACCAAAGCCTATATCCACCAGGTCCTGTAATCTGTCTTTTTTTCTTTTGCAAGCTTCACCCTAAAAAAAGGCAGATATTAATGTAGTTGAAATACAACTTAAATAACACCACCTCTTTAATTTGCTAAATGTTGACATAGACTTACTTGTGATGAAGCTAGAAATATGACATCTTGGCAGAATTCATACTCACATATTTCACTTCAAACTTTTTTGCAAGTGCCTCCATTTCATCTCTCTCCCTGTCCTCCACCTTATTTAACGTTTGTAGTTTCTTTTTCTCAGTGGTTTCCTTAAAATGAGAGAGAGAGAAAAAAAAGGGGCCAGAAACCAGTGACTTTCCTAAATTCACCTGGATTCAACCTTGACCCTTTTGCCTATTTTAGTTGTTTTTTTTGGTAATAAAACGAGACACCCATTTATTGGAACTCAACTCAAACCCTAAACAATGCAAATGCAAAATCATATAATATAGCCTAACAAGTAGCCAATAATAATCAGAAAATACATTCATGTCAACGATTGTTTACCTTTGTGCTGATCAAATCCGGGTAGCAAAACTCCGGGCAGCGTTGATCATCCGGCTCGAAGAGTTTCAGTTCCACTCTCGTTGCGGCATGCTGGAGTGGTGGCGATCCCGGCGCAAGTAAACCCTGTTTGACAGGTGGGTCACTGGCATTGGGGACAGGGGGGACGGTGGGAGAAGGAAAGTGTGCATTGCTTGAGATTGCGGTGAGGTGAATTCTTCGCGGTGCAGCCATTGCTCAGACCGATAGCAACGTTCCACGATTCTCCCCGAACAGGTGCGCGTTTGGTTGATTAATTATGAACCTGTGACGCCAATTTAAGTCAGTCATTTTCCTGCCTTAAAAGGGAAGCTAGGTAAGATGCGTTCCGCAACCTGCAGGCCTGAACGACACCATCTGAATGTTTCAGCTGACAAAACCGTTTCAGTCCTTGGAGTAACGATTAGGATAACACAGGCTTAACGTTGGTATTTGTAGAGTAGCCTAGACCGTTTATTATGTGGAAATACTTAACCTACTTGGTTAGTTGACGCAAAACGTCAGTAACTTAGCCTAACACGTTATGAAAACCAAACCTGACCAAACTGTCACGTCTTTAGGTTTTTGAAATGATTAAAAAAAACGTAGTAAAAGTAGAAAAATACAACCACGTCACACTACATCGTTTGTAGAACGTTTATTTTCTTTTAAGTTTTGCAATGCTAAATTTACCAACTGACAAAAATGAAACTAGGTAAAATCGTTTAAATTTGAAGACACTTTTACCTCTCGAGGTAATTCTGTCAATAACTTGTACAAAAGAGCATGTCATATTTAGATATTGACTACATGCAGAGATAAGAATGAAGCTCAGGTAATAGCAGCTATGTGCCTTAGGATATCCTAGTCTAACTTTAATTCAAAGCTGCGCGTGAGTTATTAAATTACAAACCGAAGTCTCATTTGTCTATCCTTCTACTTATTTGGTAAACTCTAGTTTGAAAGATGTAGGCTACGTGGCAAAACATTTTTATGATGGCGATAACTAATCTGTTAGTGATAGCCTACAAGTTACGAAATCTTACATGGGCTATTAATGGATCAAATCAATCTTATTTAATCCATAGGCTATCACGGTTTATGTGCTCGGATTATTTCTATTGATTAAACAATAGTTCAAAAAACAAGACGTAGCTACTGACGTCCATTTATCCGTTTTCCATGCCGCTCATAGGCCTACGTTAAGCGGGGAATATGATGAAAAGCGGCCAATTTGGTTAGGGGAACGTTCTCCGTCCCAACCCCTCCAAAAACCGTTCTATTTCCGTAACGAAAACTTTACTGGCTACCCAAAAACAAACGTTGCAAATACATGTTTTGGGAACGTTCACAGAACGTTATGTGACCCCCAGACTACATGCAGTTCCCAGAACGTCCTGGGATCTAAAATGTGTTAGCCTGGATTAGATGTAATTCCAGGTTGAATAGCCTAGTTATAGTTTTTAAAAGTCGCGATGTAGGCTACGAAACTTCAGCGTAGTAAAATTGCCTTCGTTGTTCTATGATATAGGGTTTCCGATAACGTAATCACAACATTTTCACGATGTAAACATTTTAGAGATTAGTTCTGCTTGCTGGCCATTCGAAAATGAACTATGGTTTTACTACAAATAAAACCAAAGAAACATGGTTAATATAGTTCAACTATGGTAACCACAAATTAACCATGCACTTTGCCACGCTAACCAAACATGGTATTTCTAGTACAACTGGTTATACAAATGGTAATCAGCCCGCTAAAAAAACATGGTTAATACTATTTTAACTATAATAAAACCATGATTCATTTTCGTAAGGGAGGGGGGAGCAAACGGGAGGATATTTGTGTGTTTGATTTGGGAGACCTACAAAATGTCTGAGTCTCCAGGAACCTGTTTGGGAACTACTGCCATTTCTGAAGAAACCTCTATAAATAAAACATACCACAGATGTTTATCCATGTCATGTAATGGTGATTCGTTGATATGCGTTTTTTTATGGCATGTTCTGACGTCTCCAGCAGCCAATCTCTTCGTGAACGCTGAAGGGTTTCATTCTATCTCCGCGGTCCTCGGTGAAGCGCGTCGACACGCCGACAGTCGAATACTCCCCATACAGAATGCGCTCGAATTATCATGGCAATGGAGGATTATTGTTTTCAGATGCAGAGCGCAAACAGGAGACCGCCAGGCTTTATCTCTAATATGGATTGATCGATGGTTCGCTTTATCGATCAGAAGACTTTCTGTTCGATCTAATATTGACGATCAGTTATAGCTACTGGTAGCGAGCGATACATCTTTACGAGACACATTTCATCACTAATATGGACACCCACAACTATTTCCAAAATCACAGTTCACTGTTGTCATTGGACGGACCATAGCTAGTCATTTTAGTCGTCATCATCCTGCGCCTGACTTACTTTTTTCATTAGGAATTGAGTTGTGTAGCAATAGGCTACAAATAGTTGAATGTAGTTTCCCGTTGTGGTTCAGCTGATGTAATCAGGTAAGGTTAAAGAACGATAGCCAACTTAAGTGTTACATTTCGTGACCCACACGGCATTATGCATCGCTTTAACCGCTTTAACCCAACAGTAGCTGTCGCAGTACTAGGCTAGTACAAAATGAACCCAATGGCGCTGTCCATGGTACTGAATGAATTCTGTCAGTTTATTGAATTAGAAAGACATCCACCACTACATACGTACGGACGAGACTTTTAAATACATGCACGGTAAGTCTAATGAATGATATCCACTGCAATTATAATGTATTTGTAGGCCTATATTTTTTTGTTCTGCTTAGTTGTAGTGTTTGAAGAGGTTATGGTCTGCCTAAGCTACTTTTCATCCAAATAGCAGCAGCTGTCCCTGAGAATTTTTTAAGAAGGCTGTTCTATTCAAATAATACGATTGAAATAATATTAAAAAAAAAACGGATTAGACATTCATGTTACTTTAAAGTAACATGAATGTCTAATCCGTTTTTTTTTAAATATTATTTCAATCGTATTATTTGAATAGAACAGCCTTCGGTTTCAAGCCTCTGCTGGATGTAAAGGTGACCAGTAGATGGCAGCAGATTTCTTAAAAACGAAGGTAATGAGTGTTAATCAAACTACTAATGCGTGTGGGTGTCATACATTGGGATTAAGTCAGTGCAGTCACATTAATGGACAACTTTTTGTATTTTAGGCTGTGGTCAATATTTGATAAAATAATGAGGTTTGTTTCTAAACAGTTTACTTTTTGTACTCCCTTTTAAAAGATTATTCAAAAACAGCAGAATGACCATATAAAGATAAATTGAAATTATATATCAAGGCTCTAAATGCTAGAATAATTTAATGATTTTAATTGATTTAGAAATTAAATTATGTAATGTGCAAACCTCTTTTGTGGTGGAGAGAATTTTTTATATTAGAAAGACAAGAGAGAGAGTACAGTGCTGATCTTCCAGATAGTAGCACACCTGGTGCGCTCCCCACCAACCTGTGTAATCCTATGATTGATAGACAAGATCAGTCTAAAGCTTCTGTACATTTTACGCCGAACAAGCAGGAAATGCTGCATGGCAACAAATAATGTATGCCATTTTCCCGACTTTAATATATTGTTTGGACTGCTTTTCGTTTCTTCCATCTGAAATCTCTAAGCCTTCTCTTTAGCTACATTAAGATTCACCTCACTTTCTTCTCCACGGGCGCTCACCGTGGAACGAGCCTCTTATGAATCGAATTTGACAGTCACAAAGGCGTCATAATTGCAGTCTGTCGCATTCCATTCCATGTTAACATATCACAAACTTATTCAAACGTAATTCGGGACGCATATGCTTTCGCTATCTCTCTCTCTCTCTAGCAATTATAAATGAATTTCACGGTGTAGGCTTTTAATGCTAATAAGATCCCCCTCCCCGCTGGCTTGCGAACGAACAGGCCAGTCTCACTGACAAACAGGGCGCGAAAACCCGTGGTGTGCATGAGAGACATGTATGGACCCAGAGAGGGAGAGAGAGAGAGATGGGACAGAGGATCAGATTGCATCTCTTTTGTTTAACCAGACTCCTGTTTCAATGAGCTAATGGAGCGGAAGAGATTGGCGCCCCGCGGCTAGAGAAGGCCGACAGAAGCGCCGAATTAAAAAAGGTGTCAATAAATGTGTGAAAGACAATGAGCTAAAATACACACGCTTTATAGGGAGGACAAAGAGGGACAGATGGAAAGTGAGGAGGGGGTTCCGACCAGTGACAGGACCCCTCAGCGTTTCATCAGAGCGGAGGGAGAGAGTTCCAATATTGTCCCGGGATGATTTAAGGCGCTCTGGGAGTCAGGTCCCCAAAGTGAATAATTTAGTCCTTTTATTAACTTGAGCAAACATGAGCTGTTTTTAATTAACCAGTTAGATCCGAGCACGACGGCCAAATGCATCCACCAGTATAGTTTGAGAAACACTGAGCTTAAAAGTAGGCTAAAACAAGTTTGACTTTCGGTAGCCTATTTTACGTTTGGTTTGGGGGAAAGACAGCCTACTCACGTCCACAGCTGCTAATTGTAAGCCACACAATTTTTAGTTGGATGAATAGGCTCATTTACATCGCAAAGATGTCTATTTGATGTGCGTGTTTCCATCTGGAAGACGGTTTTTTATTTATTATCTGCAATAGGCTACTTCTCTAGGACGTTTCCTGTCAGACCTTTAAATAGAAATTTAGAAAATGACTTTAAGATGTTTATGATTTAGAATGTAGCCTATGTAAAACTGAAAGACATCTCTCAGATATTGACACAGCAGATGCTTTCCAGATGAAGCGCTCTTTAAAAGACATCTTGCAGACATATGTGTGCTATCTAATCACATGGTATCATAACTACAGGCCTAATCTTAATTTAATTTAGGAGGCAGATATGGAGTTCTTGGGAGAGGCGATGACTCGGATCACCACTAGGAAGCGAGTCGTCTGTTGAGTAGCCTAATTAAGCAAAAAATTAAGTAGGCTACATTTAATTAGACTCGGGTTCCATAAACACAATTATGTATTTAATTGATAGGCTCGTCTAATTATTCTGTCGCACAATTTACACCTCCTTTGCTTAACTGTGTATAACATCATGAGAACCATCTTTTGGTAAATTATTGAAGAATAATGTTTTTTTTTTGTATTGTTATTATAAGAAATATGAAATATTAATGTTATAATATTTTTTTTACTTGGGGAAATATGTTTTTTTTTATTATCCTTCATATAACATTTATAGGCCGAGTGAGAATTGGTTGGCTAAAGTTTGGAGGCAAATTAATTATCTTATAAGATTTAGGCTATACCGATTTTATCGGACACACCAAGTTTATGGGAACCTCTAGTAATGATCTTATGCTATTGGTGAAATAAATAGCCTAAATAGATGTGTTAAATAAGAGAGACATCCAAATGTGCAGTTGGTAGGCTATAGGCTAGGCCTATCTGGGCCAGGATTTTAGAACTTTTGTTTCTATAGAGGGGGCCGAGACAAGCAGCTCTTGGGCGACAAGGAGAGGGCAACGAAGGCAATTCATTAGGCAGCGGAGTTAACCTGCCTCGCCTTAATTAAAACATCTTCGCTAGTTTACAGTGTGGATACTGGGGCGTCTCTGGGGTGTTGGGTTTCCTGCGCGCAGCAGATGGCCGCGTCCGCCGAAAATAATAGTTGACGCTCCTCCTCCCATGCTTCATTGTCCCAGACCCGAACAACCGTGAGCCCGCGAGCCACCAGGGGATTAGAGCAGCGTGGATAACAAAGAGATATTAACTATTCAAGGCCCTCACGAACGACCGCGGTCAGTGTACATCTACAGAACCTGATTGATACCCCGGCGGATGACACGATTGATTCTCATGATGTCCGAGATTTATTTACTTAGAGCGAGAAATGGCTGGTCCTGAGTTGTCTGAGGAACTGAAGTATCCCAGCACTTCTTGACTTGCCTCTATCAATAAGCGTTCACTGACAGATTAATGATTTTTTTTATAAGAGGGGAGTTAATTTTTAACTCTCTAAAACATATTTACATTTAACGAGTTGGGGTTTTTTTTTTTTTTTTTGATAAGAAGAGATGGCATATCAAGCATTGTTTTGTCCGGATCTATTAAGTTATTCAAAAATGTGGATACTTAAATACACTTTTTCTGTAAAGAACGTGTTTTCAGTTCTCTCTCTCTCTTAATATTTTATGTGTTTAAAGTAAAAACAAATGGTGTAACTAGACAGTATAGTCTATTAAAAGGCTGAAAAAACTATTTGCATATTTAGGCCCTCTTTGAAAAACTTTTGTATGTGCACCAACATTGAAACAAAAGCCATTAGGCTGTCATAGAGCCCCATGACTGCTTTTTCTTTCTTTCTTTTGTTTTTAATCTTTTTTAAGGCACGTTTTTTCAGGCCAATAAGAACTTTTTCAATAATTTGTTTAAAAAATAAAAGGTTTTACATTTAAATATGTTTTCATTCAATTGAGTTAAAATAAAAGTTTTATTTTTTAATTGATTAAATCAAATTGCTTGTTCTAAATGGTGTAAAGGTTTTTGGTTTGACGCCATATAGACATCTGCTCTTTTTTTGTGGGCACCTTGGCACTGACGTTAAGCCACATACAATCGCACGACGCTAGGTGGCGATAAAAGAATGATTTCTTCTTCCACATGACAGTTCAAGTTTTTGACAGCTGTGATACCTGTGTGCTTGATCATCAATGAAGTCGTGTCACAGGTCTTTTCTGCTCATTTTCCTCACTTTTCATGGGGATGGATGGATAGAATCAATATGCTGTTAGCACAAGCGCGAGCGCATAAGCACACAGCCACACAGGAGCGCGCTCCCACCCCACGTGCAAGTGCTACACATTCATGTCCTTCAGTTTCAAAGAGTGATTAACGGGAGAATATAGTGGACTGGAAAAAATATGTAAATTACTCTCACAAAGGCTTCGAAAAATTGGCGTCATCACCATTGCTCAAATAATATTATTTCTATATTTTGAAAATGTTAATCTGTTCAGCGGATTTCCCCGGGGAGGCGAGTAAATTAGTTCTATTTCCGTGCATACCAGCGCGAGGCAACGGGAAGCGACAAGCACCTTCGATTCGCTGATTACAATTAGACAATCTCTGCTCGGGGTCCGTCAAGCATTGATAATTTTTGGCATATTAAGCACGTTTTAGCAAAAGGTGATAAGTCAGTTTTAATTGAAATAAAATTATTACTCTAATAGAAGTTTGAGTTATTGTTATTAAAAGGATTCCATTTTGACC